AAGCATCGTGAGGTTGAAGTTTCATACTACACGTTCTTGTATGAGTTAGGAAAATATAACGTCAAGATGAAAGAATATCTTGAAAAGAGAAACAATGAATAAAACTTATCGTTTACTCAAGTAATTATTTTTAGTACTTTTCGACGTACTTTTTGATCTTGTCAAGAGCTTCGAGCATCTGCTTCTTTGCATTGTGCTTGGCGAAGATGGCTTGCTCAATGGTGAGCTCGAAGGCTTCTTTACCGATCGGCTGGTGTTCGCGAAGATCTTTGAGTGCATCAAGAACTGCAGTGTACTCTGATGGTAAATGGGAGCCATCAATGAGTGTATAAAGGATGAGCATGTACTCCTGCAGTAAGTTCTCCTGTTTCAAGCGGGACTTGAACTCTTCGCGAGATCTTGAAGCTTTTGGAGCTTCTCAGTGGCTTGAAGGTAGTCAATGATGACCTTCTCTTGTCCCTCAAGTGCTTGTGGGAGGAAGTGGACATAAGCTGTTGACTTCATCAAAAATGAAGTGGTCATGACACTTTTTAAGTTAATGTCCGAGCCATACAGTGATGTCGAAGCAGCACATGAACCAAAGAAGAAGTCTTGCTGGGAAAAGACAAAGATTGTTGGTAACGCAATCCTAGCCATTTGTGTTGTTTTGAACTTGATCGTACTTCTGATCTTGTTCTACAAACTCAACAGAGGTTATTGTCTCAAGTAAACACTTATTTTTATTACCATATAAATGATTTTTACCAAACCTCCTTTACCTTTCATAGGTAATAAGTCGAAGATCAGGAAAGATCTTATCGACATACTCAAAGACATCAAAGGGGATTATGTCTTCGTTGACCTATTTGGTGGTTCTCTCTATATCTCTCATCTGTTGCATATTATGTTCCCAAAAGCAACGATCATAGCTAACGACTATGATAACTACGTTGATAGACTGAAACACATTCATGACACGAATGAAATACTTAAGGAACTTAAGGAGAGAATAAATGTTAAGCCAGATGAGAAAATTCCTACTGATCAGAAAGAGATCGTCAGAGAAGTTATAAGTAAAGCTCCATACATAGACTGGGATACATTATGTTCACGTCTTCTCTATTCTGGAGCATACAAATACTATGATCTTGACACATTAATGAAGAAAGTGTTATACCTCAGATATACTAACTTATTTGGTGAAAACATAGATGACTATCTTGAAGGTTTAACTATTGTTCATAAAGATTGGAGAATACTCTTCAATGAGTATAAAGATCTTCCCAATGTTTTCTTTATATGTGATCCTCCATACTTCCATACTTATTCTATACAGTATGGAGATGAATGGACTCTTAAAGATACTGTAGAAACCTTTGATGTCCTTAATTATCCATCTATTTACTTCAGTAGTGATAAATCTTATACAGAAGAACTTATAGAGATATTGACAAAAAGATATGGAGAGAAATTTCCTATGAGAAAGCATGTTATAGATAGAGGTTTAATTAATCCTAACACTCAGAAAAATAATGAAGTAATATATGTCACTTTTTCTGTTAATGGAGAAGAGAAAGATCAAGAAGATAATAGTTGATGAGGGAACTGAAGAAGCGACGACATTCATCTTTGACGACGGAAAGCTCACATTCGTTGTCGATAAAAATGGACAACACTTACACAAAAGAAAGAGACCAAGAAAATTTTTAGATCTCCCAAAAGCTAGGAAACCAAAGGAACCATTTCCAGTACCAGCCGTCCAAGAACCAGAGAGACTTTTGATACCAAAACCTGTGGTTGACAAATATGATCCAGATCAGTTCTTCCCAAAAATACCAAAGTTAGAATAAAAACTCCTTTATTTCTTTAGTATTATATAATAAGTCTATTAGTAAGCTCTGTTCTCGTTCTGTTCTGGTATTTTGACGTCTTTTCATGGTCTCGCATAATAAGATCATGAACTTTTTCTTGAGATACTCGAAGAGCTGAGGTAAGTTATCATATTCTGGATATGTAGGAAGCATCCCTGCTATCGTAAGTGTTGTATCAATAAGGATTGGACTTATATCGGAAAAGTCGAGATCTGGAGTAGAATAAGAAGGTAAGTCTCTTACATGTAGGTAGTCATTATATGCTTTACGCATGAGACTGAGTTTCTGGAGCACAACTATGAGACTTTGGTTCTGACGTTCAAGTTTGCTTAAAGTTCTCTCCAAGCTTCTGTAATAAACGTCAACCTCTGTAAGAGCAGATATTTTTGCATTGATCTCGGAGATCTTTTCTTGAACTTCACCAAGTTTGACCTTAACTGACGTTTGAGCTCCCATCATGTTTTCATCAAGGTCATTCTCTATGTCATCAATGATATCTTCCCATGAAGTCATGTTTTCATCATTGATCTTAACGTGAACACTCATGAAAAAAATGTCATGTAAAGTATAAATGTCAGATTTTTACTCTTGAGCTTCTTCTCTCTGGATTGACTCGTCTGTAGGGCTTAATGTGCCATCACGTTCGACCAGAAGGTTCTGCTCAGGTCTGTCAAGGAGCTGTCTGTAGGTCGTGAAGGTTTCAACGAGTCCTTGGTAAGGAGTTTGGAGATCAACATCGACCCATGGGTGTTTGCGTAAGAAAGCAGCAAGGCTTTCACGCTTGGAGTCAATGACATCTTTCTTATTGGTTAATCCTTCTTCAAAGCTTAGGATTACTCCTGCAGTTGATTCAAGTCTTTGGATCTGGCGTCTGGAAACCTTGGTGAGTTGTCTTATCCTCTCGTTTCCAAATACATGCAGGAGATATGCAGAAATTACTTCATTAAGTTCGATTAAACAAATTGGATGAAGATCAGTCATGGCTTTTGTAAAGCAATCTTTTGTAAAGCTGTCTTTTGTAAAGCAGACTTTTGTAAAGCAATCTTTTGTAAAGCAATCTTTTGTAAAGCAGACTTTTGTAAAGCAATCTTTTGTCAAGACGTCTTTTGTAAAGCAGACTTTTGTAAAGCAATCTTTTGTCAAGACGTCTTTTGTAAAGCAAAAGTATTCAATTTTGTGAGAAAATGCTTTTGTAAAGCAGTCTTTTGTAAAGCTGTCTTTTGTCAAGACGTCTTTTGTAAAGCTGTCTTTTGTAAAGCAGTCTTTTGTAAAGCTGTCTTTTGTAAAGCTGTCTTTTGTAAAGCTGTCTTTTGTAAAGCTGTCTTTTGTAAAGCAGTCTTTTGTAAAGACATAACCGACGACCGAATGTCCCAAGATGGTACAACACCAGCTCCAGCATCACCAACACTAGATATGATGGCAATGATGATGCAGATGATGCAACAGCAAACCCAGCTTATACAGCAAATGCAGGAAAAGAAAACTTTCAATAAACCTGCAAAGAACTCACAAGATCTTGAAGCTGGACTCAATGCTCTCAGGAACGACTACAAGAGAGAGCAGATGACGTTTAGGAAGAAGGGTGATGAAGATTATGAGAATGATCCGATCGAGGAAGACGAGATCAAGTCCACTGCATCCACAAAGACCCTCCAGGATGAAAGAGATGATGAGGGATTCCTTACCAAGTCTCAAAGACTCTTTGTCCTTGAGTTCTTCACGATCTCTGCCTTGAGATCTATGAGGAATTGGAAGGGTCGCGTTCCAAGTGGCTCAAACAAGCGCGAACTACTCATGACCGCAGTACCGCTCACTAAGACAAAAGTCCAGCTCATGGACTTTATCCTTTCCGCTTGTCCCGACGAGATCTAAGATCTGATCAGAGTAAAAACTTACATTTATGAGCTAAGCTCAGTAATAATTAGTTGTTTATTCTTTCTTCTCATACTTCTGTGCAAGGTTTCCACGGAAGAACTCAAGCAACATTTGGATCTTTCCAAGCTTTCGACCTTCTTTTTCGAGGTCATCCTGGTAAGTTCGGAATGCGTCAACGTGTGAGCTCGCATAGAATGCAGCAACAACAACCTCTTCTGCACCTTCTTTGCTGTCAAGTGGCATGAACTCGAATCCTTCCATTCGACCAAATAAAAGTGACAAAAATGTCAATGAGACCCACTCGTTGCATAGATGCTAAACCTGGTCCGAAGATGCAAAAGTTCTTCAGAACACTCATGTCTGACCAGAGGGAGTACGGTCATGAAGAGGTCATACAGATCTTCGATCAGTGTGTACCAAAGCCTGAGAATCCAGACGAACTCTTCATGTAAATTTACTTGCTTCAATGGAGAGATGAGAGACCAGGTATGAAACTCAGACCAATAACAATCTTTCCAGGTTTCTGCAATTACCTAGAACAAGCATGCCAGATCAAATGGTCTGACACCATCTTCCTCCAAAAATAAACTTTATCGTTTATAACACTTCAGGATCTACATCTATTTCTTCTGCTTCATCCTCAATGTCGATCTCTTCGACAGGTTTGATAGCAGCTTTGAGTAAGTTCTTACCCATTGTCTTAAGTTCAACTGGGTTATATTCTTTGTCTTTACTCTTTGTTGATTTCGTGAGATCTACATATAAACAATAACTTTTAGTCTTGTCAAGGTTTATTCTCGCTGAGAAATGGTCAGGAATGTTTATAGCTATCTTTTCAAACTTGAGTAAATTAGCTAAACCTTCATTTGTGTATTTCTGCTTATCGACAAAGATCATGATCGGACTTGCACTATAACCATACTTTCCTTGACATAATGTTTGTGGTAAGCATATAAGTAGTCTCTTTGCTGTTTTATTTTGCTTCTTCACTTCATCTACAAACTGTTGGATCTTAAAGAACTTTATATGATGTTCAGACATCTTTATATACCCGATAAAAAGTTCAGATAAAAAAATAATTAGCTATATTTTTATTAGTGCATAAATGAGTCTTTCTTTGAGATTTTCTGATGAAGATCTAACTTTGGTAAGATCTTTAAAAGATGATGAAAACATTCTTTCTGTCATTGATGAAGAAAAGAAATACTTCAGTAATGATGTAAAAATAGAGCTACTCATTCATACTGAGAAACAGTTTGTGATCGTGATCTTGAGTTAAGCAGCTCTGAACCAAGCGAATACAGTCATAAATGGTGGTAAGAAGTCTTGACCTTTTCCTGTTGCATCTGTGATTCCAGCTACTGTGTGAGTATGGTTTCCTGCAGATCCGCAGAAAATACCTGTACTAACATCTCTAGGGTCATCTGTGATATCATATCTATTCATACCTTGTCTATCAGAACCTGCTGCAAGATTTGTATAACCTCTTTTTGTCATTGAATGTGAATGCTCTCCATTAGTAGATGTTGTTGCACTGAACCTATGGGAGTGTGGTGGAAGGTTTTCAACTCTGATAGTCTTTGAACCACCAAAGTCCATTGATGAGTTAGAACAGTAAAGAAACTGATCAACAATCGGTTGCCAAACACCTCCATAAAGGGTTTGCGGGCTTGTTGAGCTCATTGATGTAAATATAGAACCAATTGGATACATCATGTCAAACATGTTAGAAGGTCTATAAGTATAATCTACTGTGGTGACATCGTTCAAATAAAACTCAAACGTATCTCCAGGATGAATAGTTAAGTTTGTTCCATCTTTTTTGTGGAACACAAGTTCAATAGATTTACCATGACTCAATGTATAGTAACTTGGACCTTTTTCTGATGGACCAATGTTATAATTTATAAATATTGCAACTTTACCCATATCATTATTACCAAAGCTAACTGTAATGCTTTCAGGTATTCCATTGTTTACAGATGCATTAGAGATCTTTGAGATCTGTTCATTAACATAAGTTTTGTCTGCTTTGTTGTCTAAAGAAGTTTGAAGTGAATTTATGTCGGAGATATTGTGTTTATGAGATTTCAAAACTTTGTTCGTTGCGTCAAGTTCATCTTTGTCAGCTTTACTTTTAATAGCATCTTCAACGGTTATTTTTGCCTTAACTCTCAACCTAAATCTTGGCTCAACTAATACACCGTTAACAAAGAAGTATGAAGCATAAATTTCAGCGTTATAACCAAATGATTGTGGTGCTATACCTGTGTCATACTGTACAGTACAGTGTATGTCATAACCTTTAGCACGAATGAATTTATATCTTCTTTCATTAACATTTTTCGTATTCACTTTTTCACCCTGTGTTAAATATCCGTGGTAGTCCGTTATAATCTGTTCATCTGAACTTATATAATGAACATGGTTCTTGTCAGCTTTCTTATCTAACATTGCTGGTAGTTCATATACTTCGAAGTTTCTGGCATGACCTTCAATGTTCGTACATTTACTATCTAAACTGTTAAGAGTATCTTTTACGCTAGTGCTTGGATCTTCTTGTGGAGCACTTGAACCTAAAGTATAGTTCAAGATAATGTCATCAGCTCTTATTTTCTTGATTTGAACTGGTTGGTCATTATCAGCTCCTATTTTATTGATTATAACAGGTTTGTCTTCTCTTGAACGAATTGATTTAACTGTCAAAGGTTCAGTGAACTCATTATTTTTCAAAGGAAACAATGTTGTATTGATGTTTTCACCATTAATATATACTTCTTTTGTATCAATACCAGATGGGAATGAAACTCTTTCATTAACTTTAACTGTTGTACCATCACCTGGGTACATATCTTTCTCTGGACCTTTGATTGTCTTAAGTATGACAGACTGTGATAAAGTATATTCTTTAGATGCAACTTTACGTATCTCTTCGTCAACATAACTTTTGTCAGCTTTGTCTGCAATCTTAAGTGCAGTTCTTCCTCCATTATTTTTGTTCTCCTCAACTTTCTTCGCTAATTCAGCAAGAATGAGATAAAGATAATCAGTAAGGTCATCAGTACCAGACATATTAATATTATTGTTCTTTCTTGATGTATTAGCAACTTTCACTAAGGTCACAAAATCAGGGTACAAAGTACTTAACGTAGAAATGATTGTTTTTGGTCCAGGATCTTTCTCTTCTTCATCATTAGCATCACGTGGCATTGGAATTGGTTCCAAAGGTCCAGTCACATCAAAACTCTCAAGTTCCATATAACCTTCATTTCTGAATCTTTCTATATGAGTTATCTTCTGGAAACTTGTTTTAGTCTTTTCAACTAAATTTTTTATTCCATCCACAAAACCTCCTTTATGATTTGGACCAAGATTACCCAGAGTGTCAAGAACAGTATCTATACCTTCTTGACTTTCAACAAAAGCCCAAAGAGCATTTATTTGACTCTGGAGTGATATCCATGAGGCTGCAGTAGCACCGGCGTTTGCTATGGCAAAGATGAATGATAAAGGGTTGAACTTAAGACCAGATTCTTTATCTTTGACAATTTCAACGAAGTCATTGATATTTTTCTTCAAGTATTCCTTAGTCAGAAGAACTCCATCGCCAGCTATACCAGTTGCTTTTGTCTTTCCTTTAACATCAAATGTGATTGGTTTCTTCAATAAAATAACTTCTGGTGTTGTACTGATGCTATCATTAGTGGAGAAAAATTCTCCGACATGACTTGCTAAGTATTCTTTCGTCAATAATGTTCCATCACCAACAATACCAGTTGCTTTTGGACCATCTTCTGTGAATGTCAATGGTTTCTTTAACATAACTTTATCTAAGTATATTGCAATACCACTATTTTGTACTTGTTCATGACCTAATATATAAGCAAATGCTGCGTTTAAAGCATTATACAATGTATCTTCTTTAAATGTTAATTGACTGTTTTCAATCATTGGTATATTGAACAGTGTAGACCTTGGGTCAAAATGAACTCCATGGTCAATCGATAATAACCGTTTAACATGATATATTATAGTCTCTAATGCTTCATTAATATTTACCTCACGAGTTTCTTGCAAACCATTACTCGCCATACATGAAAACATATAATCTCTATCAGTTGTGAAGAATGGAGCATCTAAGTAATTATTCTCTACTTTTGTCACACGATTCTGTAACGCTTGAAGGTATTGATTTAAGTCTGTTTCAACAATTGTACCATCTGGTTGCTCGATAGGTAATATACCAGGACCGATGGTAATGTCTTCATCAGCACCTTCTTTATGTATGACTAAAGCATTATCAGTAATTCTGAGAGTATATTCTTTATATTGAAGTACGCTAGACTTATAACATTCATATGCATATGGAACAACACTCATTCTTTTACTACATATAAAAATGATGTATTATCTACAATCGACTGATCCTAATAACTACGGGACAATACAGTTTCAAGCAGATCCTAACATGGGGCATCCAAGTAAGATAAAGATGAGAGTAAAAAGTGTCAGTACTATGGCGAACTTTATTGTTTGTGACGAAACAGATTATTTTGTCTTACAGTTAGACGAAGATGGAGAAGAAAAGGTGTGTACATTTAAGTCAGCTCTTTCATTTGATATGGATACTATTGTATCAAAACTACAAGAGATTGTAACAAAACAGTTTGATTATTATAACAAGAAAAAAGGTCAACATAATGTAACAGTTTCACTGAGTGCTACGAATCAACTTATATTTACGTCACAGGACAAAGGACATAAAGTCTATTTAAAAGATGCTTCACATAGAGCAAATCTTATTTTAGGTGCATATGGAATAGAACTACCTATTGTACATAATTATTATCTACAAATGCCAAAACCACCTATGCTCAACTTCGGGTATCAGTTATACCTTCGTTCATCAATGTCTGTCATCTCTGGGTTCAATAATATTGACCAAGTTGATGATCGAAGAAAGATCATGTACAGATCTACATGTTATAACATCAATGAGTTCTGGATATCTGGTAAACCACTTATATGTAAGGAATCCTCACCATGGATAGATGCATTTCCATGGGAACTAACTAATGTTACGTTTACCTTAGTTGACTTCCAAGATCAGCCTGTTCGATTATTGTCACCAATGTTTATGGTGATAGAGATTAAACCAGATAAGCCAGAAGTTAGAGAAACCAATGATGTCAGTGATGATGATACAGAATCTTCGTACGATTATGATTACGATGACGATTAAAAAAAAATAACGTATATTTTTTTATCGGTTATAAAAGACCAACATGCTCAATGCTATAAAAGGATTAGTTAATAACCTTTCACCAGAAGATAAGAAAGGTATGCTTGATATGTTTGGGATCAAAATGCCTAAGAAAGCTAAAGACATTACCAATAAATTAGCTCTGGCAATTAAGAATCAAGGAGGTACAGGAAGTGTAGCAGATATTTTCAAGAATGCTAAGAGCTTCTATGATGACTACAATGGTATCATGAATGTTCCAGCTTCAAATTCCCCAGTTGCTTTAGATCACGATCAGAGATCTCATAATAGAGCGTTAATGGAGATGCAACCAATATACTCAGACCCTCCACCAAAGATTGATGAGAGCGAATTAGCATACAAAGAAATACAGAATGCCTTTTACGTTGTTAAGAACATTAATGGTCAAAAACTTCCTGATGAGAAATGGTTAGACCCAATAACTAAAGCAGGAGAAAGATTCATTATGTTTAACATTGACCAATACAGTCCAAGAGGAAAAGATTACTTCAACAAGATGTTTCCAAGAGTTATGGCAAAGTTCATTGGACAGATAGACCTTTTCAAACAGAAGTGGACATTCTATTACGACTTTGATGAGAAGAGAAACATTTTGCGTCATTTGAACATCAATACAATGGGATCATTAGTTCATCAGTTACTTAATGAAGCTCCAATAGCAGAAGTACAAGAATTAGCATCTAAAGTCCTTGAATCAAACTATGACTTCTTCCTTTGTAGTATTCCTTCGTTAAGGAAGATCGAGATCTTTGACTATACAGCTTATTCAGATGTTGATGCTTCTGCTTTGAGAAAAGGAACGTACACACCATATAAACTCACAGCTGAAGAACAAGTTATGTTAGATACGATGAGAGCAGCAGGTCAAGAAAAGATCGCACTCAAGATCATCAAACAAAACCATTCAAAGAAGAGAAACAGGTCACGTAATGGTCAGCTTTGGACATGGACATGCAAATTACCTATTAACTTAGAGAGGTATCAGATCTTCAACGAACTTAATGCAGAGACAGCAAAGAAGATGATGAAAGATTCATGTTTCATCTACGCTTGTATTCAAGCTGGTGTTGACGAAGCAACAATTAATCATATGAGGGAAATCATTCGTGTCAAAGATTTTCCAATGTCAAAGATTAAGGTTATTGCCAAAGAAACAGGAATAAGGTTCCATGTCATCAAATACAACGAGAAGTATTCAAATCATTCATATACTTATGAACCAGATGAAGAACCAAAGATGACAGTAGAACTTTTATTAATGTATGACCACTACATGTTGAACGAAAAGCTTCCAATAAGTTCAATGTTCATCAAGAACTATGAAGATGTTTGTAAGTTGTGCAAGGATTGGACTTTAGAGAAGAAGATGTTAGTTAACAGAAGATATGAAACAAGGTATGCAATTAACTCAAAGTTAGTTACACCACTTGCAAAAGTCATTGAACTCTTGTTTGCTAACAATTATTTCGAACCAATTAGAACAGGAGAACTTTGCACATACTTCACAACGATGTATAATGAGAACCTTGAAGAAATGATTGACCTCACATACAATGAGCGTTATTGCGCAAGGATGAAGAAAGATTGGAGTTCAGAGACGAAGAAAGACATGAAGTTCCCAAGAGAACATGTTTTCTTTGCTGACTTCGAAGCATCAACTGATGGAAACATTCACAAAGCATACAACATTTGTTTCATGGAAGATGACGATGATGGTTATACATCAATTTGGGGAAGTGACTGTGCGTCAAAATTCCTCGAAGCTTTACCAGATAAGAGTTTAGTTTATTTCCACAACTTATCGTACGATGTCATTTTCTCATGTCTCAGTTAGAAGAGATTACAGGAACTCCAATCATCAAAGGTTCACAAACGATGCAGATACAAGGAAAGTACAAAGGAAAACTTCTCTGCTTCAAAGACTCTTATGCAATCATCTCAACTAAGTTGGAAAGATTCCCTGAAATGTTTCACCTCACTAGTGGTGAAAAAGAAGTTTTCCCATATAATTACTACACGGAAGAGTTAGTTAATACAACTAAAGTTGGTAACATCGATGATGCCATGAATCATGTCAAAGATATTGAAGCTTTTAATGAGAACATTGAGAAGATTGAAGATTGCAAGATTGATGATGAACACTTTGACATGGAAGTTTATTCGTCATTCTATTGCGGTCAAGATGTACGCATTTTACGAGATGGCTTTCTTAAGTTCCGCAATGACCTCATGACTGAGTTTGAAATAGATGCTTATGATTATGTTTCAATAAGTTCTATCTCAAACAAACTCTTTGAGAAGAGAGTATATTGGAAGAACGGTAATCTCTTTGATCTTGCAGGAAAACCTCGTGAATATATTTCCAAGTGTATTCAAGGAGGAAGATGCATGCTAGCTGAGAACAAGAAGCAATACAATGAAGGAGAACTCATCACTGACTTCGATGCTGTATCATTGTATCCATCAGCAATTGCTAGACTTTACTGTTTAGAAGGAATTCCAAAAGTTATGACAGAAGAGATGAAGAGCAGTGAATACTTGTTGGAGCATCTCTTTGATGATGACCAAGCTGAACCAACAAAGGAAAAGTTCATCTCAGGATTTTACTGTCAGATCGAGATCTTGTCGATCGGTAAGAACTCAGCATTCCCATTGATTGTCGTCAATCCTGACATCAACCCTGACTTACATGTTGCCAGAAGTTCCAATACATGCTGCAAGATGTTCGTAGACCACATTACGCTTCAAGATCTGATCAAGTTCCAAGAGATCTCATGCAAAGTCATTGATGGATACTATTATGATGGAAAAAGGGACATGACAATAAGGAATGAAGTTAAGAAGCTCTTCGAATTACGTGCTAAGTATAAGAAGGAAGGTAATCCGATACAAGAGATCATCAAACTTCTTTTGAACAGTATCTATGGTAAGACGATATTAAAGCCCATTGACAAAAAGATTCGTTTCATCAAGGACAATAAGCTCACTGACTATATCATTAAGAACTATAATGACATACAGACAATAGAGTTCATCCCCGATTCCGAACTTTCATGTGTAAAGTCATTTAAACCTATCGTTCGTCACTTTAACTATTGTCCATTAGGTGTTTCAATCCTTTCTATGTCCAAACGAATCATGAATGAAGTATTCTTCACAGCAGAAGATTTGGGCTTGAAGTTGTTCTATCAGGATACAGATAGTTTACACTTGTATGAGAAGGACTTAGATAAGTTAGCAGAAGAATACAAGAGAAGGTATAACAGAGAACTCATTGGAAAAGCACTGGGTCAATTTCATTCAGACTTTGCAGAGATTACTGCAGGACATATGTCTAAGGCACAAAGATCTATATTCGTTGGAAAGAAGACTTACCTCGACGAATTAACCAATGACCTCAAGGAAATTGCTTTCCACTGTCGAATGAAGGGAATCACACAGGACGTAATTGCACTTACTGCAAACCAAATGTTCCCAGATGCGATACAAGTACATTATGACGAGAAGAAAGGTTTGTTCTTCCCTGAGAAAGTTGGGGAAAAATATAGCATCGTGGAATTGTACAAATCTCTTTATGAAGGTGATGAGATAACCTTTGACTTGTGCATTGGTTCGAAACCATGCTTCAACAAAAATAAGGACTTCACTATTTCAACGAAGTCATCTTTTGAACGTAAGTTAAAGTTCTAAACACTTACTTATTATTTTTCTTAGCTTCTTCCTCTTCTCTCAATTTCTTTGCAATCATTCGTGGATTCTTTGCGCGTCCAGCTGCTAATGCAGCTAATTGTTTCTCTGTGAGTTTACGCTTTGGTTTAGCTGGTTTCTCTTCTTGTGTTTGTTCTTTTGGTTTGAGTTCATTAAGTATTTCTTCACGAAGTTCATTCTTGAGTGCTTCTCTGTCGAAAGTATTCTCAGTCATTTTGTTAGGAGTAAAAAATTTTATTAGGATAGAAATGACGTCAAAACTTTCACCAAGTGAAAAGCAATCAATCATATTGAATGAAGCTAAAGGAATACAACATCCATTATATTATGTTTGTCATATGAAGAATGGTTCAGTTCAAGTTAGAAAGAGAAAGGCACCATTGAATTCACCAGCTCCTGCCCCAGCTCCTGTTGTTCAAGAAGCTCCTAAAGTTGATGAGAAGAAAGAAGAAGAACAAGCATATACTAATAAAATGTTGTTAGAGATGATGACAAAGATATTAGAACGTAACAGTGTAGTTAATGAACCAAACATGGACCCAATTGAACGTGAGAAGGAAACTAAAGAGAATCAAGAATATGTTCAATCAATGGAAGAGAAAAGAATACACTTCGATGATGAACCAGAGCCTGAACCAGAACCTCCTAAACCTCAGCCACAAATAAGACGAATAATCCCAAGAATAAGAAGATTGTAAATTTTTTATAGCTGAGAAAGATGTTGAACGATAACCTCAATACATACAGTATTGCTGATTCCATCAGACAAGTAAGATATTATTTCGATCAAGTTGATGGGGCAGTTCCTATTGGAGATACTAACCATAGATATGTCCCAACAAAAGTGCCAGCTATGCCGACAAATACTATTGATAACGGTTATATTACATTTAACATATCACCACCTGGTGAGAACATGATTGACTTATATAATACGTTCATTAGTGGTTATGTCGATGGTGAGTGCATAATTACAACAGAAACTGAACCAGCTGATGAAAAAGTTCCTAAATATGATGGTGAAGTATATAAAGAAAGAGCTGTTGAGACAGCTCCTACAGGATCAAATGTTACAGCAATTAAAGCAATTGATACTAAATATGCTGGTGGCAAATCATGTGCACATCTTCCAGCAATTTGGTTGGGATACATTGATTCATTCTATGCTGTTGAATCATATCAATTAATCGCTAATGGTAAAAGTGTTTATACACAAGATAATGCTAGAGAAGAAGGTTACATTACTTCTACTGCATCTACAACAGAAGCTATTAAGAAAGTTGATGTATTTAGTAAGGCTAGACATAAAGATGTTTTCAATAGATGTGATACAGTTCGTTCTGGACAGATTATTGAGTTCAATAAACCAATTAGTGGTGCAACTACATTAAAGTTCCACATACCAATCAAGATTGACCTAAGAAGATTCCTAATACTTAATAACATTAGATTCCTTCCAGCGTTTGCTGGTAACTTACAACTTAAGGTTAAGTTCAGTATTGCTGGTATGGTTTGGACACCATTAAGTTATCAGGATATTCTACCATTACCGAACATGCAAGCCAATGTTACAAGCTATATTCCAATCACTAATCACTTCACTCCTATCTATGAAGGTATCAAAGTTATTGATACTGTAACTTGGAATGCCGATAAGAGTACGATATCATTTGGTACCAAGTTTATTAAGTTCACTAAGAAGAATGCAAACTTCTTTGAAATGATTACATACTGTAACTCATTCTCTTTGGACCCTAACATCTATAGTGATTTGGTGACAAGATATTCGGCAAAGACTCTAAACTTCCCAATCAAAAGAATTGACTGCATTACTATGGATGGTTCAATGGCTAAAGGTGAAGGAACTCCTTGTACATTCACGGCAGCATTTACTCCATTATATGTGAACACCATTTATACACTATTTAAGAAAACACCTAATTATAACACTACCTATGAAAATCCATTGTTTGAACAAATTCAATTGAACTGTGGAGCATATGGTAACATACCCGCTGAGGCTCAAGCATCTAATGATCCAATCTTCTATGAGATGCAGGCAAATGCCACTAACAATAATAACGATACTGTTGGCTTCAACTATGATGTCATGAGGTCTATCACAACCACATCAGTCCCTCAATTTGGAATCGAGTCAAATGACTTAGGTCATTACCTATGTGGATTCCCTTGCGAAACTGATTATACATTCCAACAGGGTCAGTTATCTAATTCACCTATTACATATAAGCTTACAGTTAAGCCAACAGCAGAGTCTATTAAATATACTGAGAAACCAGTGTTATGCTTCTTACGTCACGTTTGCCTCTCCATACAGATTAAACAGGTGGGACCACCTATCGTACTTCTCGACGATTATGATTTATCAGCCCCTGCTAGTGAATAAAGGTTAGTTTACATATGAACGTTTATTTTTACACATATATGCGTACATATGCGCGCCCGTATGGTGTCAGTTTTCTGTCACTTTTTTCATTGTGTCGGTGACTGTAGCTGTAGGCTACAGGCGACGCACAATGTATACTGTACTGAAACTGAACTACAAAGCGTTCCATATTCCAGGTAAGTTAAAATTCAAAAAGAGAAGGAATTCCAAAAGTTATGACAGAATAGATGAAGAGCAGTGAATACTTGTTGGAGCATCTCTTTGATGATGACCAAGCTGAACCAACAAAGGAAAAGTTCATCTCAGGATTTACTGTCAGATCGAGATCTTGTCGATCGGTAAGAACTCAGCATTCCCATTGATTGTCGTCAATCCTGACATCAACCCTGACTTACATGTTGCCAGAAGTTCCAATACATGCTGCAAGATGTTCGTAGACCACATTACGCTTCAAGATCTGATCAAGTTCCAAGAGATCTCATGCAAAGTCATTGATGGATACTATTATGATGGAAAAAGGGACATGACAATAAGGAATGAAGTTAAGAAGCTCTTCGAATTACGTGCTAAGTATAAGAAGGAAGGTAATCCGATACAAGAGATCATCAAACTTCTTTTGAACAGTATCTATGGTAAGACGATATTAAAGCCCATTGACAAAAAGATTCGTTTCATCAAGGACAATAAGCTCACTGACTATATCATTAAGAACTATAATGACATACAGACAATAGAGTTCATCCCCGATTCCGAACTTTCATGTGTAAAGTCATTTAAACCTATCGTTCGTCACTTTAACTATTGTCCATTAGGTGTTTCAATCCTTTCTATGTCCAAACGAATCATGAATGAAGTATTCTTCACAGCAGAAGATTTGGGCTTGAAGTTGTTCTATCAGGATACAGATAGTTTACACTTGTATGAGAAGGACTTAGATAAGTTAACAGAAGAATACAAGAGAAGGTATAACAGAGAACTCATTGGAAAAGCACTGGGTCAATTTCATTCAGACTTTGCAGAGATTACTGCAGGACATATGTCTAAGGCACAAAGATCTATATTCGTTGGAAAGAAGACTTACCTCGACGAATTAACCAATGACCTCAAGGAAATTGCTTTTCACTGTCGAATGAAGGGAATCACACAGGACGTAATTGCACTTACTGCAAACCAAATGTTCCCAGATGCGATACAAGTACATTATGACGAGAAGAAAGGTTTGTTCTTCCCTGAGAAAGTTGGGGAAAAATATAGCATCGTGGAATTGTACAAATCTCTTTATGAAGGTGATGAGATAACCTTTGACTTGTGCATTGGTTCGAAACCATGCTTCAACAAAAATAAGGACTTCACTATTTCAACGAAGTCATCTTTTGAACGTAAGTTAAAGTTCTAAACACTTACTATTATTTTTCTTAGCTTCTTCCTCTTCTCTCAATTTCTTTGCAATCATTCGTGGATTCTTTGCGCGTCCAGCTGCTAATGCAGCTAATTGTTTCTCTGTGAGTTTACGCTTTGGTTTAGCTCAACATGCTCAATGCTAATAAAAGGATTAGTTAATAACCTTTCACCAGAAGATAAGAAAGGTATGCTTGATATGTTTGGGATCAAAATGCCTAAGAAAGCTAAAGACATTACCAATAAATTAGCTCTGGCAATTAAGAATCAAGGAGGTACAGGAAGTGTAGCAGATATTTTCAAGAATGCTAAGAGCTTCTATGATGACTACAATGGTATCATGAATGTTCCAGCTTCAAATTCCCCAGTTGCTTTAGATCACGATCAGAGATCTCATAATAGAGCGTTAATGGAGATGCAACCAATATACTCAGACCCTCCACCAAAGATTGATGAGAGCGAATTAGCATACAAAGAAATACAGAATGCCTTTTACGTTGTTAAGAACATTAATGGTCAAAAACTTCCTGATGAGAAATGGTTAGACCCAATAACTAAAGCAGGAGAAAGATTCATTATGTTTAACATTGACCAATACAGTCCAAGAGGAAAAGATTACTTCAACAAGATGTTTCCAAGAGTTATGGCAAAGTTCATTGGACAGATAGACCTTTTCAAACAGAAGTGGACATTCTATTACGACTTTGATGAGAAGAGAAACATTTTGCGTCATTTGAACATCAATACAATGGGATCATTAGTTCATCAGTTACTTAATGAAGCTCCAATAGCAGAAGTACAAGAATTAGCATCTAAAGTCCTTGAATCAAACTATGACTTCTTCCTTTGTAGTATTCCTTCGTTAAGGAAGATCGAGATCTTTGACTATACAGCTTATTCAGATGTTGATGCTTCTGCTTTGAGAAAAGGAACGTACACACCATATAAACTCACAGCTGAAGAACAAGTTATGTTAGATACGATGAGAGCAGCAGGTCAAGAAAAGATCGCACTCAAGATCATCAAACAAAACCATTCAAAGAAGAGAAACAGGTCACGTAATGGTCAGCTTTGGACATGGACATGCAAATTACCTATTAACTTAGAGAGGTATCAGATCTTCAACGAACTTAATGCAGAGACAGCAAAGAAGATGATGAAAGATTCATGTTTCATCTACGCTTGTATTCAAGCTGGTGTTGACGAAGCAACAATTAATCATATGAGGGAAATCATTCGTGTCAAAGATTTTCCAATGTCAAAGATTAAGGTTATTGCCAAAGAAACAGGAATAAGGTTCCATGTCATCAAATACAACGAGAAGTATTCAAATCATTCATATACTTATGAACCAGATGAAGAACCAAAGATGACAGTAGAACTTTTATTAATGTATGACCACTACATGTTGAACGAAAAGCTTCCAATAAGTTCAATGTTCATCAAGAACTATGAAGATGTTTGTAAGTTGTGCAAGGATTGGACTTTAGAGAAGAAGATGTTAGTTAACAGAAGATATGAAACAAGGTATGCAATTAACTCAAAGTTAGTTACACCACTTGCAAAAGTCATTGAACTCTTGTTTGCTAACAATTATTTCGAACCAATTAGAACAGGAGAACTTTGCACATACTTCACAACGATGTATAATGAGAACCTTGAAGAAATGATTGACCTCACATACAATGAGCGTTATTGCGCAAGGATGAAGAAAGATTGGAGTTCAGAGACGAAGAAAGACATGAAGTTCCCAAGAGAACATGTTTTCTTTGCTGACTTCGAAGCATCAACTGATGGAAACATTCACAAAGCATACAACATTTGTTTCATGGAAGATGACGATGATGGTTATACATCAATTTGGGGAAGTGACTGTGCGTCAAAATTCCTCGAAGCTTTACCAGATAAGAGTTTAGTTTATTTCCACAACTTATCGTACGATGTCACTTTTCTCATGTCTCAGTTAGAAGAGATTACAGGAACTCCAATCATCAAAGGTTCACAAACGATGCAGATACAAGGAAAGTACAAAGGAAAACTTCTCTGCTTCAAAGACTCTTATGCAATCATCTCAACTAAGTTGGAAAGATTCCCTGAAATGTTTCACCTCACTAGTGGTGAAAAAGAAGTTTTCCCATATAATTACTACACGGAAGAGTTAGTTAATACAACTAAAGTTGGTAACATCGATGATGCCATGAATCATGTCAAAGATATTGAAGCTTTTAATGAGAACATTGAGAAGATTGAAGATTGCAAGATTGATGATGAACACTTTGACATGGAAGTTTATTCGTCATTCTATTGCGGTCAAGATGTACGCATTTTACGAGATGGCTTTCTTAAGTTCCGCAATGACCTCATGACTGAGTTTGAAATAGATGCTTATGATTATGTTTCAATAAGTTCTATCTCAAACAAACTCTTTGAGAAGAGAGTATATTGGAAGAACGGTAATCTCTTTGATCTTGCAGGAAAACCTCGTGAATATATTTCCAAGTGTATTCAAGGAGGAAGATGCATGCTAGCTGAGAACAAGAAGCAATACAATGAAGGAGAACTCATCACTGACTTCGATGCTGTATCATTGTATCCATCAGCAATTGCTAGACTTTACTGTTTAGAAGGAATTCCAAAAGTTATGACAGAAGAGATGAAGAGCAGTGAATACTTGTTGGAGCATCTCTTTGATGATGACCAAGCTGAACCAACAAAGGAAAAGTTCATCTCAGGATTTTACTGTCAGATCGAGATCTTGTCGATCGGTAAGAACTCAGCATTCCCATTGATTGTCGTCAATCCTGACATCAACCCTGACTTACATGTTGCCAGAAGTTCCAATACATGCTGCAAGATGTTCGTAGACCACATTACGCTTCAAGATCTGATCAAGTTCCAAGAGATCTCATGCAAAGTCATTGATGGATACTATTATGATGGAAAAAGGGACATGACAATAAGGAATGAAGTTAAGAAGCTCTTCGAATTACGTGCTAAGTATAAGAAGGAAGGTAATCCGATACAAGAGATCATCAAACTTCTTTTGAACAGTATCTATGGTAAGACGATATTAAAGCCCATTGACAAAAAGATTCGTTTCATCAAGGACAATAAGCTCACTGACTATATCATTAAGAACTATAATGACATACAGACAATAGAGTTCATCCCCGATTCCGAACTTTCATGTGTAAAGTCATTTAAACCTATCGTTCGTCACTTTAACTATTGTCCATTAGGTGTTTCAATCCTTTCTATGTCCAAACGAATCATGAATGAAGTATTCTTCACAGCAGAAGATTTGGGCTTGAAGTTGTTCTATCAGGATACAGATAGTTTACACTTGTATGAGAAGGACTTAGATAAGTTAGCAGAAGAATACAAGAGAAGGTATAACAGAGAACTCATTGGAAAAGCACTGGGTCAATTTCATTCAGACTTTGCAGAGATTACTGCAGGACATATGTCTAAGGCACAAAGATCTATATTCGTTGGAAAGAAGACTTACCTCGACGAATTAACCAATGACCTCAAGGAAATTGCTTTCCACTGTCGAATGAAGGGAATCACACAGGACGTAATTGCACTTACTGCAAACCAAATGTTCCCAGATGCGATACAAGTACATTATGACGAGAAGAAAGGTTTGTTCTTCCCTGAGAAAGTTGGGGAAAAATATAGCATCGTGGAATTGTACAAATCTCTTTATGAAGGTGATGAGATAACCTTTGACTTGTGCATTGGTTCGAAACCATGCTTCAACAAAAATAAGGACTTCACTATTTCAACGAAGTCATCTTTTGAACGTAAGTTAAAGTTCTAAACACTTACTTATTATTTTTCTTAGCTTCTTCCTCTTCTCTCAATTTCTTTGCAATCATTCGTGGATTCTTTGCGCGTCCAGCTGCTAATGCAGCTAATTGTTTCTCTGTGAGTTTACGCTTTGGTTTAGCTGGTTTCTCTTCTTGTGTTTGTTCTTTTGGTTTGAGTTCATTAAGTATTTCTTCACGAAGTTCATTCTTGAGTGCTTCTCTGTCGAAAGTATTCTCAGTCATTTTGTTAGGAGTAAAAAATTTTATTAGGATAGAAATGACGTCAAAACTTTCACCAAGTGAAAAGCAATCAATCATATTGAATGAAGCTAAAGGAATACAACATCCATTATATTATGTTTGTCATATGAAGAATGGTTCAGTTCAAGTTAGAAAGAGAAAGGCACCATTGAATTCACCAGCTCCTGCCCCAGCTCCTGTTGTTCAAGAAGCTCCTAAAGTTGATGAGAAGAAAGAAGAAGAACAAGCATATACTAATAAAATGTTGTTAGAGATGATGACAAAGATATTAGAACGTAACAGTGTAGTTAATGAACCAAACATGGACCCAATTGAACGTGAGAAGGAAACTAAAGAGAATCAAGAATATGTTCAATCAATGGAAGAGAAAAGAATACACTTCGATGATGAACCAGAGCCTGAACCAGAACCTCCTAAACCTCAGCCACAAATAAGACGAATAATCCCAAGAATAAGAAGATTGTAAATTTTTTATAGCTGAGAAAGATGTTGAACGATAACCTCAATACATACAGTATTGCTGATTCCATCAGACAAGTAAGATATTATTTCGATCAAGTTGATGGGGCAGTTCCTATTGGAGATACTAACCATAGATATGTCCCAACAAAAGTGCCAGCTATGCCGACAAATACTATTGATAACGGTTATATTACATTTAACATATCACCACCTGGTGAGAACATGATTGACTTATATAATACGTTCATTAGTGGTTATGTCGATGGTGAGTGCATAATTACAACAGAAACTGAACCAGCTGATGAAAAAGTTCCTAAATATGATGGTGAAGTATATAAAGAAAGAGCTGTTGAGACAGCTCCTACAGGATCAAATGTTACAGCAATTAAAGCAATTGATACTAAATATGCTGGTGGCAAATCATGTGCACATCTTCCAGCAATTTGGTTGGGATACATTGATTCATTCTATGCTGTTGAATCATATCAATTAATCGCTAATGGTAAAAGTGTTTATACACAAGATAATGCTAGAGAAGAAGGTTACATTACTTCTACTGCATCTACAACAGAAGCTATTAAGAAAGTTGATGTATTTAGTAAGGCTAGACATAAAGATGTTTTCAATAGATTGATACAGTTCGTTCTGGACAGATTATTGAGTTCAATAAACCAATTAGTGGTGCAACTACATTAAAGTTCCACATACCAATCAAGATTGACCTAAGAAGATTCCTAATACTTAATAACATTAGATTCCTTCCAGCGTTTGCTGGTAACTTACAACTTAAGGTTAAGTTCAGTATTGCTGGTATGGTTTGGACACCATTAAGTTATCAGGATATTCTACCATTACCGAACATGCAAGCCAATGTTACAAGCTATATTCCAATCACTAATCACTTCACTCCTATCTATGAAGGTATCAAAGTTATTGATACTGTAACTTGGAATGCCGATAAGAGTACGATATCATTTGGTACCAAGTTTATTAAGTTCACTAAGAAGAATGCAAACTTCTTTGAAATGATTACATACTGTAACTCATTCTCTTTGGACCCTAACATCTATAGTGATTTGGTGACAAGATATTCGGCAAAGACTCTAAACTTCCCAATCAAAAGAATTGACTGCATTACTATGGATGGTTCAATGGCTAAAGGTGAAGGAACTCCTTGTACATTCACGGCAGCATTTACTCCATTATATGTGAACACCATTTATACACTATTTAAGAAAACACCTAATTATAACACTACCTATGAAAATCCATTGTTTGAACAAATTCAATTGAACTGTGGAGCATATGGTAACATACCCGCTGAGGCTCAAGCATCTAATGATCCAATCTTCTATGAGATGCAGGCAAATGCCACTAACAATAATAACGATACTGTTGGCTTCAACTATGATGTCATGAGGTCTATCACAACCACATCAGTCCCTCAATTTGGAATCGAGTCAAATGACTTAGGTCATTACCTATGTGGATTCCCTTGCGAAACTGATTATACATTCCAACAGGGTCAGTTATCTAATTCACCTATTACATATAAGCTTACAGTTAAGCCAACAGCAGAGTCTATTAAATATACTGAGAAACCAGTGTTATGCTTCTTACGTCACGTTTGCCTCTCCATACAGATTAAACAGGTGGGACCACCTATCGTACTTCTCGACGATTATGATTTATCAGCCCCTGCTAGTGAATAAAGGTTAGTTTACATATGAACGTTTATTTTTACACATATATGCGTACATATGCGCGCCCGTATGGTGTCAGTTTTCTGTCACTTTTTTCATTGTGTCGGTGACTGTAGCTGTAGGCTACAGGCGACGCACAATGTATACTGTACTGAAACTGAACTACAAAGCGTTCCATATTCCAGGTAAGTTAAAATTCAAAAATATTTCACGATAAAAATATTTGAACTTGGATTTTGAATAAAAAAAATTCTGAATAAAATTTTCTTGGAAATTAAAAAATATTAACCTGCAATTAAATATAATCAAACAATATAATTTACAAAAAACAATACAAAATCCCAGTCCATTGGGATTTTAACCTTGTCTAAAATGATGACAGGATATGATTGATCGGAGTTCAACGAAATGAAATGTCAAACAAGTAATATAGTAGTAGTACAATATGTTCTTATATAACTTCAATATCCATATTGAAGTCAAAGGAATCATTAGTTTCAAATAAGGTCTTCCAAACACTATCCATCTCATCACTGCCAAGAGAAGAGTTAAACAATGAGTTAATCTCTTGTTCCTCTGTTCTAGTAAGAGCTGGAAACTGTTTGGTTTGTTCATCAACATTCTTAATTGGAGCATGTGATTCATTTGAGTTTATATCTGTATTTCTAGTATATTTCGGTGTGTATGTTTGATCAACCTTGTAATAATATGTTGAATCATTTTCTTGATATTCATCTTCGCTGTAACTTGTATAACTAGATAAGTCATCACTAGATATATCCATCCTTGCTGATCTGTTACGAGAACCACGATTTGAGCGCTTTTCATAGCTAGACTTTAATGAAGAACGCATTCTACCAAGAGTTTTACCGTGTTTCTTGATAAGCATGTAGCGGTAGCGGCATTGGACATCGGTGCGTGAGCCAACAAATTTAGCAACTTTAGTCCACGTGTTGACACCGAACTTAGAAACCGCTTCAAGAAGTTTGTTGTCGTCTGATGTAGTCCAGTTCTGCTTGTTGATGCGTGGATCGAGTGTTCTGTGCCAGCGCTGGCTGCATTGGCTGCGTGTGCGGCCGTTGCCAACAAAAGAAGCAACGCGTGACCAGTCGCCAAAGCCACCGTGGTGGATGGCATAGATGAGGCGATTGTCTTCTGCAATGCTCCAGCTGTGTGAGCGACGGCGGCCGGCAAGCTTCTCCTCTTCAAGTGAGTACTCGTCAAGAGGTGTCTCGACAACGTGAAGGATGTTGTCAACGCGGTGGAGTGGATCGAGGTTAACGAGTATAGGGCTCATGATGTCGGAAGCATATTCGAGGCTAATCTCGTTCTGGATGTACTTCTTTAATGTATCTTTAACTGCTCTAAGTTCCTCCTCAGTGAGTGCCTGATTTGCATCAGTGACCATCTGCATTGCGATATCCATAAGTGGTGACTCAGTCTTCTTACCCATTTATAATTATAATGATTTGTTTTGGTCTCAATATTTAATTGAATTAATATAAGAACGATATTCTTAGAAAATCTGACGGAAGTTCTCAATTGCTTCAATTTTGAGAGGAGATAGAATTCGCACAAAAATGGGACTATTACTCCCTGATTGTTGTGATATATTTTTTATAATTATTTTTATGCTCTGTTTTCAAATTTTGAATTCAATAGATTATTCGAACAAAAAACGATTGCAAAATGTTGAGTAAAAAAAGAATTACAATCACCATGGAAAACAAGAGAGTATAAAAGTTAATATCGTGACTTTTGATATAATATAATGAATATAAATTCTCATTCAAAATGAAAGTTTGTGGGATATCTGGATATATTAAAAGAAATCACTAAATATTTTCAAGAATGAAATTAAATAAATTCAATGAGATCAAAAACCTCAAAAGTGAAATTCTATTTATTTTTTGAAAAATGATGGCCTGACATGAATTAAAAGGATATAAATACCTATATAAAACATGATAATTTGATATATGAATTCTGAAGTAAGATATTACTGATTTGAAAGTGGTTAACAATATGAGAGGTATAATGTACAATAGTACTTTAAATGAAATTTAAGTTTGAAAAAAAAATATTCTTGAGGGCAAAAAAAAGATGATCTATGATAGACATCTGGAATGATTTGAGTATGGGTTAGGATAGAAGGATCAAGTGAAGTACAATGGAGAAGACCCATAATTTATTGATATAATTTATTGAAATGATAAATTAGAGAAAGGGACAGACTAGCCCATTGTCACTTTTTAATTTAGCAAATGAACGCTTATGAAGTGGAGTTTTTGGGTAAATCTGATTTGCTTATAAATGAAATAAAATCAAAAGAAACCATATTGGCATTATATTATGCAAAAATAAATGATCTTACTTAGTACTTTTAAAGTTAATTTCAGAAAAAATTTGACACAATGGTATCCGGCACATACAAGTGGTGTACAACCAAAATATAAGTTGGTTTAAACATATATTGCTATATCTCATGATCTTACTTAGTACTTTTAAAGTTAATTTCAGAAAAAATTTGACACAATGGTATCCGGCACATACAAGTGGTGTACAACCAAAATTTCATATCCCTAGTTTTACATTTATGTTTAGTTTTATTTCACCTAATTTTCAAAGATCATAATTGAATTAGATGGCCAAGCTATTCAAAACACGACCAAGCTTATCAAAATAAGACCAATATATTCAAAATTCTTTATTCTTTCAAATCATTTCATTTTAATGCAGATCCAAGATCACGAACTCACATATATCGAGTTGCTTAAGTATGGAGTGCAACAAGAAATCCAAACAGGTTGTAGTTATTCATATAAAACTAGGAAAGAAAGAAATCAAATCCAATTTAATTGTAAGTGGCCGAATTGTCCATGTCGCTTCCTTGTTGATACACTTCCCGATGACAAGTACCACATACGAAAATGTATTAACACCCACAATCATTCTGCCCCTTTTCCAAACAAATCACAACAAATTACATCATATTTTTATAGATCTTATTTAACAAGATATTTTGAATCAAATCAAGACCGTGTTTACGCACAATTAAGGTGTTTCAAAGATCTTAATATCCTATTTGATAGTGGGATCATTCCGGAAATGTTTCAACAATCTACAGATGCTTTAAAAAAGTTTTCTAAACGCCTTCATGCAATCAATACCCGTTTCTCAGCGGATGATGTTACATCTCTTGCAATTTTTGTCGACATGGTTAAGAGTCATTCTCCGTATCGTGCTGAACCGTTGGGGAAAATTGAATACCCGAGGTTCAGCATACATATAAAAATGAAAGACTTAGAGCCTAGGGTTAAGCAGGAAGATAGAGGGTACATATGAGATTATCCTCAGTAACTCTCAGGCAAATCTGAGTTTTTGGTCAGATATATAAGATTATTGTGAACGAAAAATTATCTAATATAGACCTAATTTTCATGTGAGCATATAGACATATGTATATATTATATGTTTCTTGTGTTATTATAGGTTAAATCCATAGTTGGATATGTGAGATAAATTATATCTTAACACAGAAATCGTTTTTTATATTATCACAGTAGATATGAGGGGTACTATATGAGTTATAATATATATTATTAGGAATAAGTATATAGGTCCAAAATAATGGGAATGCATAATTTATGGCGAACTCAAAACATTTATTTTTATATTATGAGGTTATAAAATTGTTTTATTCATATATTATATGTGCTCTGTGCTATTGAAATGTGCTTAAAATGATTCTGCACGCGCAATCACAACGCAAAACTTCGTAGCGAGCAACAGTTTGTGCAAGGACATGGAATTTATATTTTTATCCTTACATAAACTTATAATGTGGTTAAAATGTTCGGTTTGCTCTCACTTTTGTTCCGCAATGTGACATCGTGAACAAAGTTTCCGATCTGAGTGCATATATGCAGGGTCTTTCCATGGCACCCTGCATACATGTACTCAGATCGGGAATATTGTCCACTTTTGTTCCACGATGTGACATCGTGAACAAAGTTTCCGATCTGAGTGCATATATGCAGGGTCTTTCCATGGCACCCTGCATACATGTACTCAGATCGGGAATATTGTCCACTTTTGTTCCACGATGTGACATCGTGAACAAAGTTTCCGATCTGAGTGCATATATGCAGGGTCTTTCCATGGCACCCTGCATACATGTACTCAGATAAGAAATTTGCTTAATTGTTTGACATGAATGTCACATTCGAAAATCGTTTCTCGAAAGGAGTTTACAATTACAATATATTGTCCTATTGTATTGTAATTGTAAACTCCTTTCGAGAAAAGCTTTCACTTTGTGGCACGAATGTCACATTCGAAAATCGTTTCTCGAAAGGAGTTTACAATTACAATATATCGTCCTATTGTATTGTAATTGTAAACTCCTTTCGAGAAAAGCTTTCACTTTGTGGCACGAATGTCACATTCGAAAATCGTTTCTCGAAAGGAGTTTACAATTACAATATATTGTCCTATTGTATTGTAATTGTAAACTCCTTAGTTCGATTCCTTCATTTTATTAAATTATAAATATACAATTCTTTCTAATCTTCCTTTTTCATAATTCATTTCTCATTTAAATTCTAAATAATCTAACTCTACTAATCTAGATTTTTTCTAATATCAATTTTTCATATACAAACTCTTATTTTTTCTTTCAAAATTCCATTTTCCAATATTTTTTGAAAATTTTACATAATTTTATATATATTTATTCTATTATTATTACATAATAATATTATACATATTAATTGTTTTAATTTTTGAATGCTACGATAATTTTTAATTCAATTTTTAAACGAATGTTTTGATGGGACGAGCTTACTGCTCATAGGCTCATCCCATCAAAACATTCCATTCAAAACTCTGGCCTTCATCGAGGCCAGAGCCAACAATTCATCCCCTCAGAGCCAAGTTCCTCGACGGTCGTCCTCATTAGGCCTGATCCGAGAGGAACTTGGCTTTGAACGAAAATCACAAGCTCTGGCCTCAGGAAAAGCCAGAGCTTCGCAAACAATCCTCGGGGCCGGCTTCCTCAAAGACCGCCCTGATTCGGGGCGGCCGGAGAGGAATCCAGTCCCGAGAGAACGTCCATACGAAGCTCTGGCCTTTTCCGAGGCCAGAGCTTGTAAATACAATCCGCAGGGCCGAGTTTGAGGGAGATCGTCCACATCATTGGCGATCTCCTCTCTTCTCGGCCCTGAAAGACATGCAAATACAGGCTCTGGCCATAGCAAAGGCCAGGGCATGGCTTACATTCCCCAGGGCCGGCTTTCCCAAATGCCGCCCTTATCCCGGGCGGCAGGAGTGGAATCCGGCCCTGGGAAGTAGAAAATACGAAGCTCTGGCCCAAGCAAAGGCCAGAGCCTGCAAAATTCATCCTCAGGGCCGAGTTCTGCGATGATCGTCGATCATGTCGACGGTCTCGCAGGAACTCGGCCCTGAAAGACATACAAATACAGGCTCTGGCCCAAGCAAAGGCCAGAGCCTCGCTTACAATCAAATTTGCCGAATCTCAGGAGATCGTTCAAATCACGGACGGTTTTCCCTGAGATTCGGCAAAATAAGTCAAATTACAGTTCTAGAAAGACTAGAAGGGGGCCCTGACCTTGAGAAAGGACCCCCTTCCCGGTCTTTCTGGCGAACTTTGGTTCGCATTGCGAGTGTCTGCTGCGAATCCGGGGCTGAGCAGCAGACACTCGCAATCATATGTCGCGGCAAGTGCACCTGTGGTGCCAGAATGCACTTGCCGCGACAATTGCGAAATGCAAAGATGATGCCGGAAGGAGCGGCAATACTGGCAAAAGCCACTCCTTCCGACACCAGAAAGACTAGAAGGGGCCCTGACCTTGAGAAAGGACCCCCTTCTCGGCCTTTTTTGTTAAATTTAAGATTATTTCAATTGCAAAATTATTTCAAAATTCATAATGGATAGTACCATACGAAGGTGCAAGTCATAGCAATGGTGCACCATCAATATGAGCCCCATTGCTATGACTTCACCTCGGGATAACCTCGATGCGAGGAAAAGTGGAGCAATTCGAAACATTGCTCCACTATACAAGTTCTTGTAAGGATAGGTATATAGTTACCACATCCTTACAAGAACTATTCCTCGCTTCGAGGTTTTGTCTTGTGATTGTGTGTGCTGTGCCATCCAATGGACAAACAGATAGCCCAGCACACACATGATAACCCTTCCCTATGAATTAGGACGCGATAGCCCTGACCTCACCCCGGGATAACTTGCATTTGTACTCATATCCCGATCAATAACATAATTTATATCAAGACACGCCTACCACTACATAATATAGCATTATATCAACACAATACTAATATATAATGTTAAAAATCTCGTAAACGAAAAAGAGGATTTGACGCAGTCAAATTCTCTCTCTCAAAAAGTGGACTTTACATGGCAAATTTCAAATGCATGTAAGGTCCACTTTGATCAGTTTCAGGATGGAATTGGAGGCCATGAGGTACTGACATTGCATCAGTATCTCATAGCCTCCAATCCCTTCAAAAAATGGGAGAAACTTTGGTCGAATAATTTAACATTCGGCCAAAGTTTCTCCCATAATTAATGAGAATGAAAGGGTAAGAGGCATATAGGGTCACTATATACCTCTTACCCTTTCATTTTCATTTGGAGGTCAACAAACCCGGAGTTAATTGCAAACAATTAACTCCAAATTTGTTTATGTTAAGGAAGGAATTGGAGGGTAAGAGGTACATAGTATGAATATGTACCTCTTACCCTGCAATTCCTTCTAGAAAGTTCCAAAACTTTGGGTTAATTGCAAACCATTAACCCAAAGTTTGTACACTTTCAAGTGGAGATGGAAGGCTTTGGGGTATATATTAATACAATATACCTCAAAGCCTTCCATCTCCACTACAAATGGGAGAAACTTTGTCCGAATAGTTTAACATTCGGACAAAGTTTCTCCCATCTTTCAATGTAATTGCTACCTGTGAGGTACTGACTTGAAGTCAGTGCTTCACAGGTAGCAATATCCAAAAATTTAAAAACATTTTATCAGTTCGTTAGAGAACTAGAGCCTCCTAGGTACTGAACCAGAATCAGTGCCTAGGGAACTCTAGTGATCTATATAAATCTGAGAAACTTTGAGGAAATTGTTCGACATTTCCTCAAAGTTTCTCAGCAATTTAGCGAGGAATGTTCGTTATCGTGTAGATATTTATAATATATACATGATAACAAACATTCCCCGCTAAAAGATGTAAAATCTTATAAGAAATAATTGCAAAAGAATAACAAATTGCAACAAATTTTATATGAAACTGAACCTTATGAGGTAGTGATTCAAGATCACCGCCTCATAAGATTCAGTTTCAATCTCAAGTATCTCAAAAGTAAGACTCTATTTTTTGCCATGTAAAATGTCACTTTTTACATCAAACCGTTTTTATCGTTTTCGTTTACAACATCTATACCTAATGTCCTAATATTCATCCATATACATGTTGGGTCTATCTCCATCAGAAGGGTCCATGCTGAAGTGTGGGTATTCAATTTCCACCCAGCGGTTCAGCACGCCTCGTCATTCTCCAGATGATCTCATCGAGTTTATTCACAAGCCAGATCGTATGATTTTCTATTACGCCCCATTCGAAGCAAATGTTTTTCACATCAAATACAAACTTATCACATTGATTCCACTTATAAGCTCTTGCGCTCTCGCATACCATTTTATGCCGTCACTGGCAAATTCGCGGAATCAATTGTTTTTCCGTTTTTGTATTTTTTCGTTTGGCCCGACACAAGTGAAAATATACAAGTTTGTCTCACAGCATATTTTGGCTCCATCAATCGCGAACCATCTTATTTTTCAATGGACTGCGCACCTCAAATCACAAATGCTGTTGAAACAGCCATCCCCTTATGCCAGATCATTTGGTGTGGCGTTCATGTGTTGCGCGCTGTCATGAGAATGGCTGAAAAGTTTCAAGATCGTTCCAACTTCGAAACTTTCTATAACTTAATGAAGTTATTGGTCTTTGGTTCTGAAGAGGAAGAAATTGATCCTGATGAAGTTTACAACAATTTAGAAGAAATTTTAAATGAGGAACCTGCTGCCCGTGAATACTTTGACCGACAGTGGCGCCATCATCTTGACAGGTGGATGCTTCGCTATAGAAATGAAGGAGATGGAACAAACAACATCTCGGAATCACATTTCAAGGTTTTGAAGCACCAGTACTTCCCAGAAAGGCGAAATCTTCGACTCGATGAACTTGTCATCGAGTTATATTCCAGTGTTGTTCCTTCATTCCTGATTAAGTTGCAAATTAAAGGTCTGGATTCAGAGAGAAGTGTTAAAGTTATCAAAAAAGTCACAAGAGATTTCGAAGAAATGACACAATTTAAAAAAGTCGAATGCATCAGTATGCTTGAAGCTGTTCAGAAAGGTCTGAAAAATGATACACTTGATCCCAACATTGTTTACTCAACATTAAAAATATTATTGCAAAGAAAACATTTGATTTAATAAACATTTGATTTATTATAATTAATTTTTTATTACAGTATAGTTAAAAATGCTATAAATAAATTATTATATTTTATTAAAATGTGACTTTTAATAGTAAGTGAATAAAATAAATCAGGAATTGGAAAAGAAATAAGGTTAATTTATCTCATACCGAAATGGCTCACCAAAAAGGTGACATTTTTGGCGCCAATAATTTGATTTTTCTGATTCTTTCTATTTAGATATATTTATTTAATATTCATATTCCTTTATATTGCCTTGTAATAAACAGAAATTCATCAAAAGTGACAGCTCTCAATTTTTTGACATTTGTAAATTCTAAATTGAATGAGAAAAATGAAATAATACTAAGCATAATACAATATTCTAGATTTAATTATAATTAGGAAAAAGTTAGTTTTGAGAGTACTTTTCATAGGCATATAGAATGAAATCTTCTGAAAAAGAATATCACATAAACTCATATTATTTTCTAATATATAACTATTTTATATAAAAATCAAATTCAATGATCTTAAAAGCGAAGGATAAACCTCAAAATTTACGAATATAATGAGTGGGAATATTTCATATGGTTTTATGATAGATAAGCATTATATTCCCACTCATTATATTCGTAAATTTTGAGGTTTATCCTTCGCTTTTAAGATCATTGAATTTGATTTTTATATAAAATAGTTATATATTAGAAAATAATATGAGTTTATGTGATATTATTTTTCAGAAGATTTTGTGTTCTTCTTCAAAATTTTATTTTTTTATTAAAAAGAATCTTTACAAAATATACATTTACTTAAATTAATATTTAAAAACGTGCTCTATCAAAAGTTCCAAAAATTCAATATTTTAGCTTTTCTGAGGTGTCACTTTTGATGAATTTCTGTTTACAACAGCCTCATATTATTTCCCATTTTTAATCATATTATACAAATCTTTAATAATTTTTAATGTTTTGAGCTTCAAAATCTTGTTCTAACTATTTTCATTCATATATCCTAGAAAAAATTAAAAAGTTTTTTAGAAATAAAAATGTTTCTATGTAAAGTATTGAAAATATTCTAGATGAGAAGACATTCTCCAGAAGAGATTGATATTGATTGGCTTTGTGAAGCCATCACAAAATCAAATAATGGAGTTAAGTTAACTGATATTTGCGCGAAAGCTAAAATAAATCATGAAGGCAGAGTTATATATAATCATACTATCTTAAAGTATTCCTAGAAATTTCCAAAATTAACCGAAATATAACTGTACAGAATTACTATTTTCGAGATAAAATTCATATGGAAATACTAATTCATAACGCTTTATGTTATATAAAATTTAATTTATAAAAATTTCAAAATAAATCAAATTTAACACAATGAATATAACTGCAATCGAGGTTTTTGACGATTGATTCTTACGAGAAGTTTTCCAAACTTTGAGTTAATGTCTTGACATTAACTCAAAGTTTGGAAGTCTAATAAGGGGAATTGTAGGCTTTGAGGTACTGATTATATATCAGTGCCTCATAGCCTGCAATTCCCATTAGAAATCGGAGAAACTTTGTCCACATAACTTATGATGCGGACAAAGTTTCTCCCATTTCTACTTAGAATGAAAGGGCAAGAGGTATATAGGTACACTATATATCTCTTGCCCTTTCCTTCTTACCTAAAGACTTCCAATCTTATTTTTTTCCAATTTTTCCCCTAAATTTAAATCTTATATAATATAAATAAAATGCATAATATCAATCACAAAAATTAATGTTTATTTTTTTAATTAAAATTGCCGCGCAATTTAAGGTTTTCTGTCACTTTTTTTGTTAGCCATTTCGGTACGAAACAGAAATAAGGTTAATTAAAAATAATGAAAATTACAAGTTTAAGGTTAGTGAAAAGTGACAATGGGCGAGTTTGTCCCCCACTCGATAAATTATGGGGTACTTTCAAAAAAATAAATTTCAAAAGTGAAATGACAGACATCATCTATAAAAATAACCTATATATGGCGATCATCTAAATGAGCTGTAGATTTAATCAATCCATAAATTTTATAAAATCTTTTGATTCTGAAAATTTTACGTTTTCAATCAAATAATAAATATGGGCATCTTATATTAAGTGAATATGATAGTAAAGATTTATAAGTTTTTCGAAAATATTTTTATGATAAAATTCGGTGATACGAAAAAGGTTTGAGTTTATGAGTAGTAGAGAAAAATACTGGTGATTATGGATTACATGAAGAGGTGGTTAATTACCATAAATGTTGATTGGATAAAAATTGTTGTTCAACAAAAAATTCAACGAAAATACAGACCAAATCTTGAAATAGTTAATGAAAAATAAGCATAAAAGGGACGTTAGAATAGAGATTTTAATTTGAGGAATTTGATTTTAGATAACTCTTGAAAAGCCGATATTTATTCAATTGAGAGTGTGTTTTCAAAATTTTGTTAGAATCGATAAAAAGGGAAAAATAGGATGTTTTATTACTAGAAAATATATTATAAGAATGATTAAATTTTATTTAAATTTTATCTATTATGAAGTTATTTGTATTTCATTCATTATGCTAGAATCAACAAGAAATGAGAATTTTCTTCGGGAAGCCTCTCAAAATCATAAAGACTTTTTATATAAAATATAAAGTACACGATTCATTTTCAAAGAATTTCAAAGTATTCAATTATCGTGCTCTTTAATTTTGAAAATCTAACGTAATGTTCATCAATATATGATTATTATTTCTTGTTCTCTATCAAAACTCGAAGAGGGTACTCTAAAATTGAGAGCATTGTTTTTACGTCGCGATTCAATTTTTATAATGGGTGTCCAAGGAATCTTTCAATTTAATTGTATAAAAATGTGTTCTTACATAATTATGATCAATTATGGTAATTCGCCTTATTTAATTTTATAATAATTTGACATATTTGAAAGCAGCTGTCATATCTTTCAGAAATTTTCAGATAAATTTTATATTATTGATATTGAATGGCCCAACAAAAAAAATTATTTTTATTATAGATGGGTCGCAAAACTGAGTCACCACTTATGGATATCGCAATGCAGATGGTCACTGATGCAAATCAGGCACTCACTGAGGAGGAACTTAGAGCAGTTAAAGATACATTAAAGAAGTACATCCAGAACGAGATTAGCCTCGAATATGCTTCCGACATCATGAGCCCTATACTCGTTAACCTCGATCCACTCCACCGCGTTGACAACATCCTTCACGTTGTCGAGACACCTCTTGACGAGTACTCACTTGAAGAGGAGAAGCTTGCCGGCCGCCGTCGCTCACACAGCTGGAGCATTGCAGAAGACAATCGCCTCATCTATGCCATCCACCACGGTGGCTTTGGCGACTGGTCACGCGTTGCTTCTTTTGTTGGCAACGGCCGCACACGCAGCCAATGCAGCCAGCGCTGGCACAGAACACTCGATCCACGCATCAACAAGCAGAACTGGACTACATCAGACGACAACAAACTTCTTGAAGCGGTTTCTAAGTTCGGTGTCAACACGTGGACTAAAGTTGCTAAATTTGTTGGCTCACGCACCGATGTCCAATGCCGCTACCGCTACATGCTTATCAAGAAACACGGTAAAACTCTTGGTAGAATGCGTTCGTTCAAGTCAAGTTCCGATAAGCGTTCATCACGTAACACTCGTTCTAAGGCTTCAAAGATTGAAGCCTCAAGTGATGAATTCTCAAACTATACAAGCGACAGTGAGAGTGATTTTGTTATAGACGATAACACAAACGAAAAGTCTAGTCCAGCTACTATTGAACCTACAGAACAGATCTCATACAAGGATGCTATTCAATCCTCATTTAACCCATTCATGTCTCAGATGCAGATTCAATCTGTTCCTAAAGTTATTCAAAAGACGACTGAACCAGATATTAACACAGTAATTGAAACAGCTTTCAGCTCAGAAGTTATGGCTAACATATGGAAATCTTTGTTCGATGCTCCATCAGACTTCGACTTTGGTATGAACGTCGAAGTTATGTAATTTTGCAATGTATTTAATAAAGCGCGCTATCTTATTGTAATTTTTATGCTTTTTCACTCATCTCTTAAATGTCATTGAACAATTCATCTCCAAAAAATCGAATCGACTTGGCATTTCATATTATTATGCACTATACTATAGGAATTACAAGCAGTCTGTGTTCGATCAAATTTTATTCATAACAGTCATCTCTCAGAAAAAATAATTAAAATCTGTCATACGATCATGGCAATGAGTAAAAAATGCTCCCCAACAGCCAGGGAAGCTGTATTACTAAATGTTAAATTCATCATTAATAATTTGAATGCCGGACCAACATTCCTTTCAATTTTTACATCAATTTTTTTTTCAAATTAAATACGATGCACTCTTATTACATAAACAGATAAATATAATATTTGCTCTTTTGTTATTCCATTGGATTTGGATATATGTATAATCTGGAGAAATGATATTCGCTAAGGTATTCGTTCGATAAAAGATTTTCAAATCTCTGGCTAAGCTTTAAATTTGATAATCTCGTATGTTTTTGTATTTACAAGCTTGTCCCGTTAATGAATACTATAATGATAAGCATTAATATTGTGATTTTCATCATTTCAAACTCGAAATTTAAAGATTATTTAGTTATAACGATTTGAACATATTATAATGATCTAATAAGTTAGTATTTAATTGACAATTTGGAATTATCTTGATTATCAAAATCATGAAAAATAAAACATCATAATTTTTGCTACATCTTTACGAAAATCTATATTCCGATAAATATAGATTCTAAATCAATGATTAAACAATATTATTTCATTTTTTTGCGGTAAAAAATTGACACCAATCAGCAACAAAAAATCAGATAAATTTTAAGAAGAACACTTTAACATCATTTCTTGATTTTGTTTTCAGATTTCAATTCTCCAAAACGATGTGAATTTTCATTTCACTTTGGGATGTCTGCTCTAGATAACTACGTCCACGAACTCGAACAATACGATGGCAAGATCTGCACATATGGTGGCGACTGGCTTCGTACATGGGATATGAACGATGAGACAATTAAGTCAACATTAAACGCATCTTGGGCTCTTGAAGAGCTTATCAAGAACAATGTTTCTTGCAAGATCTTCCAATCAGGCCTTGGTGCTTCCATCTTCCGTGATAACTCAACACGTACAAGATTCTCCTTCGCTTCTGCAACATCTATGCTTGGCCTTTCAGCTGCTGACTTAGATGAAGGCAAGTCACAGATCTCTCATGGTGAAACAGTCCGCGAGACAGCTACAATGATTTCCTTCTTCACCGAAGCTATTGGCATCCGTGATGACCTTTACCTTGGCGCTGGCCACAAGTATATGCTCGAAGTTGGCTAATCCATCACAGAATCCGCTGAAAAGAAGGTTCTTTTCAAGCGCCCATGCATTATCAACCTTCAATGCGATGAAGATCACCCAACACAGGCTATGGCTGACCTTTCCCACCTCGTTAAGGTCTTCGGATCCCTTGAAGCTCTCCGTGGCAAGAAGATTGTCATGTCCTGGGCTTATTCTCCATCCTACGGCAAACCACTCTCTGTTCCACAAGGTTTCATCGCCCTTCTTTCTCGCTTTGGCACAAACCTCGTCCTTGCTCACCCAGAAGGCTACGATCTCATTCCAGAAATCATCGAAATTACAAAGCAGAACGCAGCTAAGGCTGGTGGCTCATTCGAGATCACACACGACATGAGAAAGGCCTTCGTCGATGCTGATGTCGTTTATCCAAAGTCTTGGGCTCCAATGTGGATTTCCGAGAAGAGAACAGCTCAACTCAAGAAGAAGGACTATGATGGTCTTAAGGCAACAGAGAAGGAGTGCCTCGAACTCAACAAGAAGTACATCGACTGGCAATGCGATGACGAGATGATGGCCACAACAAAGAATGGAAAGGCTCTCTACATGCACTGCCTTCCAGCTGATATCTCAGGACTCTCCTGCGAACGTGGTGAAATTACAAACGAATGCTTCCAGAAGAATCGCCTTGATACTTACTTCGAAGCTTCCCACAAGCCATTCATCATTGCTTCCATGATCATGCACTGCAAGTGCAAGTCTGTTGCTGCTGCCATCAAGGGCATCATCGCTCGCAATGAGAAGAATCAGGAATTTCAAATGACTGATTACTTATATAGTAAACACTTTAAGATAATATTAATAATATCAATGTAATTTATGATGTATCTGAAAACTTTGAAATTTGAATTTTTGTAGAATTGCGGATTTATGCGTGGTCATGAACTCTCACTGTAATATGTCTTTCAGTAGTAGTATAAAAGCATATTTACGTAGTTAAATGATCCGATTAATTAATATGACATGTTGGCGCAAGAGTAAGATACATTACAGCCTTGAATAAGATTACGGAACTTAAAATGTTATTAATTATCCGTATCTAAGTATTTTTATGCTAGAAGATCATGTGAAATCTAGCCTTATCGATAATGATATGAAATTTAATTTAGTTGGCCATTGCATTAAAAACATTAAGATTAATAGACTGTACACATAGAAAAAATTGTGTATATCTTTGGAAAACTCAGCATTATATAAAAAATAAAATGTGATGATTTCATTTGACATTGGTTTACATGTATAATTGTTGATAACGTTCAACTATAATGTATTCTTATATAAAAAGATGTCTTTGGTATAGAATCATCTATTTTTCAAGACAACAAAGGCAAATTTCAACCTTCTTTTTAATTTTTGATGATTTTGTAGCTATATTAATGTAATCTAGCATTTGAGACTTTTTCTATTTGGTTCTCATCTATATGGAAATGAAAACTCTACCATTATAAGATTCTGAAATAAATAATGAGCAATATTGTCTCAGGATAATCTATTTTTTATAACATTATGTAACATAATTAATGTTATAATTGAAAATTGCAAATCCCTAACTTTTTAATAGAGTGATATATATTTATAACTTATGGAAGGATAACATGCGAACTATGCTTCAGTATAATCTATATATCACTATCCTTATGTTGTTCTTCCTCTATGATTCATTTTTGAAAAACAACAAATAAAAATTTGATCCCTGATCATAATAAAGGCATTATTCTTGGAAAACATTTATATGTTGGTATAGTAGAATGTTGTTATACAATAAAAGTATTCCATCGTAACCAAACTCAAATCTGACCAATAAAAAAATTCCGGTAGACCATTCAAGATAAAAACCGTCGTTTAGCCAAAATTGCGATGGAATTTATGTAAAGTATTGAAATGCAATTAAGTTCATTTTTAATAAATATGGAGCAAGTTAACGAAAATCCTTTAATGAATGACCCAGAGTAGCTTGAGTCAGTCGATAGAGAACGTGATAGCTCAACATCATGGATCAAATACGCTTTCATTGGTTGTGGAGCTGTATTATTCTTAGTTATCACAGCTATGCTTATTTCATTCGCTGTTAATGGTAGATTTGGTGCTGCCAACCAATATGATCCACTCCCTAATTGCAATATTCATCCTCAAATGTCATGCGCTGGTTCTAGTGGAGATATTGATCCCAAATGGTTTGGAAATCTCTGGAATACACCAAAGCGTGGAAAAGAAAACTGGAAACCAGGTTTCCAAGATATGTCTGATCTTACCGGATACGCACAGCTCAAATACGCATCAGGAAGACAATCCTGCACAGTTAACATCATCACAAAGACTTCCAAAGACTTAGACCTTACTTTCTACTTCGATGGCGTTGCCCAGAAGACGAATTCAAAGACATTTGATTCATCTTTCAACAAATTGCTCAAAGTCAAGGTTGTCGCTGCTACAGGTGAATCTCTCATCCTCGATGATATTGACTTCGTCCGGAACGTCGCTCCTCTCGGACAAAGGTCAAATGACCAAAGATACAGAAATGGTCAGAAAGGAGCCATCATTGAGTTGTTTGGTTGGCCGGATGCCGATATCGAGCAAGAATGTAAGTTCATTGCTGATGCTGGATACTTAGGCGTCAAAGTCTTCCCACATCAAGAACAAGTCATGTCTTCTCAAACATTCGAGAAAGAATTGAACCCATGGTACTTCATGTACCAGCCAGTTTCTTACAGGCTTCAAGGAAGAATGGGAACAAGAGATCAATTGAGAAATATGATCAATACATGCAGAAGATACGGTGTAAGAGTATACGCAGATGCTGTTGTTAACCACATGACAGGTAACGGCAACGATTTGTCAAACCACAGAAATCCAAGTGCCGGATGCACGAAATGGGGCAACAAGACATCATCAGCTTACGAACTTGGCTCTCCTTATTACACGCCAGCATATACATACGAAACAAATCCAAATACAGGACGTGGAACAAACGTATTAGAATTCCCAGCAGTTCCTTACGGTCCAGAAGATTTCCATTGCGATAAAGCACTTGGTTCATGGTCAGATCCAAACATCCTCAACACTGGTTGGCTTTCCGGCTTATCCGACTTAGATACATCAAAGGATTACGTCAGACAGAGAATTGCTGACTTCATGATCGATCTTATTTCAATTGGCTTCAGTGGTTACAGAATTGATGCCGCTAAGCATATCCATCCTAAAGATCTTGCCGCAATTTTCGGAAAAGTCAAGCAAGGACTCGGTGGTTCACTTCCTGATGACTTCATCTCATGGCTTGAAGTTCTTACAGGTGGTGAAGCTTATCTTTTAGTCCAAGGTGATGGAGATTACTCATTCACTGGCGGATTGACTAAATTCCTCAAGCAAAATGGATTGAATGATGATGAAATCCTTAAAATTAAGATCTGGTGGTGCGGATATCCAACAGAACCAGGAAATGATAACGGATCAATCGATCCACATCGTAAAGTCATCCAAAACGATGACCACGATCAACAAAACGATGGTTCATCATCAAGAGATATGCATGATGCTGGTTGTGTCCTTGTTAAAGGTTGTGATCCGGCCAAACATCGTGAATACGAAAAGAGACTCTTCAAGAATCCAGCAGGTTTCGAATCTAACAACAAGGATGCAGCACCAATCAGATTAGTTCTCTCTTCTTACTACTGGGGTGACAATAATGTCCATTCTATACCAGATGGAGAATCTGATTGTAAGAAATGCACTCTTTCCTGCGAGAGCTGCCACACAAGAGAATACATCAAGGCTTACAACCCATCGGCTACTTCATATCCAGGTGGAAAGGGATATACTTACGTTCACAGAGATTCTGAAATCATCCAAGAAATGAATAACTGGATGAACCTTTAAAACTATGTATTGTTATTTTTTATGATTAAACAATATTATGTAATCCTATCTTATTTCAAATTCATTTTCTAAAAAAAAACAATGAGAGGTTATCGATTTTGTAATTTAATCGTTATCGTCTTTTTCTAAACGTGCATTTTTACATTAAAAGCAATGCAACTCCAAAATTAATTGGTATTTAGACTTTAATTAGGTGCAGACAAACGAAATGCAGTCCAAATATTTTGGTGATATATGAATTACATAAATTTAGGGAAATTGAAATTATATCTTTTTAAATTTTTAGGAAAACAGATTTATAGAATTGTTTAAGTCATCAAAATAATGCAGACTTAGGTCAAATTTTCCAAATTTAATCATTTGCAAGACTTTCAAGCGACTTCAAAATGTCGAAATATAAGTCCAAAAATAAAATTACGATTACAGTCTATCCTCAATTATTATCACGCTAATTATTGAGTGACCCATGCGTTCGTATGTATGTAATACCTTTTAAAAAGGAGATGAGAGAGATAAACTACATTTACAATTTAAATCTGATGTATTTACTTGTTACATTTACAAATGTAAATGTTTCTCGTAATGTTTACATTTTGTAAGTATAACGAATAAAAATGACACACTTTTTTTACAAAGTCAAATTATGCGATACAACTTTACTTGTTACATTTACAAATGTAAATGTTTCTCGTAATGTTTACATTTTGTAAGTATAACGAATAAAAATGACACACTTTTTTTACAAAGTCAAATTATGCGATACAACTTTACTTGTTACATTTACAAATGTAAATGTTTCTCGTAATGTTTACATTTTGTAAGTATAACGAATAAAAATGACGCACTTTTTTTACAAAGTCAAATTATTGTTCGATTTTTGCAGCTTGTAAACGATTAATTGTATAAAGCAATTGATATTAGCACGACATAACTGAATAATTCTAATATTGAAATCAAAAGCCCAAAATATCATGATATTTTAATTTCATAACAAATCTAGGAGACTATTTGATGAAAACATATCCGATGTGGTTTTTGTTGTATTATCTAACTTGTTATTGACTTCTTAGCTTTCGAAATTTTTTTCGATAATGAGAAAACGAATGAAAAATCAACATTTGGTCTATTTAAAATTTGATTTGTTTACATTTTTTTTACTTTTTGAATTTCAATTTATATTTTCCTCAAGAAATACTTTCGATTTTAAGAAACTAAATCATATAATCTACTAAGAAAATATATTAAATCCTATAATACTCAAAGTTTTGTGATAAATCCGATCTTTTTTATTTTACTTTTATTATGTTTTTGCAAACTTAAGGTCATCACTAGGTAAAACATAATACTCTTTGAAGTTAAGTATTTTCACAAAGAGAGGACCAACAATATCAAAAGATTGAATAAAGATTTGTATTATTTTATTTATTTTTAAGAACATGTTTAAGAACCCTCATTATCTCCACGAATATTGCATATTTTTCTATTCTAAGACCACCAAAATTACGTTTTAATATAGAAAATAACATATTTATGTGATGCTAAAGTCGAAGTCCTTAAAAATTAGTGTTAAACATCCATTTATTACAAAATTGAAGAAATATGTGTAAAATATAACACATAATTTAGTTATTTGACTCAATTATTAGTTATGCAATATCAGTTGTGTTTATATCTGCGTTATATCACGAGATGCATTGAATTGTCATAATTAGATCACCGTAAATCTTATCAATTTTTGATACACTTCCGGTGAAAAATTTAGCCTTGACAATTGGATGAAATATATTGTAAAAAAATAAATTTTTGATTTTGAAGTTTATCATTTCGAATAATGAAATATAAACAATACAAATTTTCTGTCGTTTCGAGATTCATAAATGATCGGAATCTTCCAGCTCCGACTGAAATAGAACTTTCGGAAGCTAATTTTCAAGACGAATCTTCTTTATTAAGATTTATTTTGGATATCCCTAAGGATTTAAGCTTTTCCATTGACTCATATTCAATGAATCTTTTGATACATTTCATTATCGAGCAATCTACACAAAATGAAACAATATTAAAATTCACAATTCAAAATATCACTTCTTCGAATATCTTTCAAATAGATTTGATACTACTGGAAAATTTATTCGAATATTTATCGCATTATATTAACCAGATTTTTTTTATTTTTTCATTAAAATTAATTCATTTTAAGGGTGCACCCGTATGTACGTTTATTTGAGAGGAGGAGGATTACCCTCTCAATTTTGAGGGATTCGTTAGTTTATTTTCTCGATGAATATGCAATAAAATTTGATTTTTACCTTATCAATATACTTCATATAATATACACATGTTCATGTAAAAACTTTTTTCCAAAATCCTCAGTAGGGTTGTTAAAAATATCAAAAATTAGCGTTTTGAAGACACCATGGTGTCTTATAATTTTCCCTTCCTTATTGGCGTGTAGAAATAAATGTGCCAATAGATTGAAGAATAAGAATTGTTTTTCTCTTAATGAACTTTAATCCTTTTGATATAAGAATATTAAAAACATTAATATAATTTCGATTTCGGAAATTAAATTTCCAAATTTTTTGTCGATTTCGGAAATAACAGGATCCCGCATCCAACACGCAACAACAAAACACAAAACACACTTTTTGGTTCTTTCATCGTTTTAATCGTAATTTATGTAATACATGATTTGGATAAATTTTACAAAAATAGAACCTATATTATATTCTTTTCAAAGATTCTTGCAAATCATCAAAAATAATTGTATTTTAAAAAACAATCAAATTATCCTTTCATTATTTTAAACTTAAATTAGTTTTTATGATTGACTAAAGCAATCATATTTATTCATCATTAAATAAACAAAAAAATAATATTTGAGAGTTATTTCAAAAAAAAAACACATTGAATTTATTAATTTGTCTCAATTTCAGTATTATAAATTTTTATAATTTCAATATTTTGAAAAACACTTTTTAATATTTCAATATTTATGATATTTCAATGTTTTAAGTGGTCTCAAATTGAGCTTCTCAAATATAAGTTGGCCTATTCAAATAATAAAATTAAATAATATTTAAAATAATAAATAAAAGTGATTGAGGTCATAGCTAAACGGCTGTTTCAGTCATTAATTCTTAAAAATAAAAAGGGTAAAAACTAAATAAAATGGGTAAAATTCAATAGTGTCTGTGCTATCGTTCAATTTGAAGGTGTCTTTTGAAACCGCAAGACACATTGAATTTTTGAATAGTGTATTATGGTTTGACAGACACCAATGAAAAAAATAAAATGATATTTATTTTAAATATATAAGATCCTTATATAAAATATAAATATTTTATCGTTTTATTTTCTTGTTTTAGAAATGTTTTTTATTGAAAAATCAATAAAACTAACTCCAAAATAAAATTTTTGATTTAAAGACACTATGATGACACCAGGCAAATCTTCCAAGACACCTATCGTCCGGAATCTAACAACCCTAATCCTCAGGAATTAAGGGATTTTTGAATTTTAAGAATTTTTTTTCGAATTTTTTCGAAAAAAAAATATTTTCAGAACAGCCTTAACGGCTAAGATTTAGGAACAATGTTAAGTATCAAAAAGAAAGGAGGTCTGATATAGACAACATATATCGTTGAAGGTTGAAAAAATCTCTAATATTTGAGCCCAAAATTTCAAATTTTAATTTTTTGAAAAAAGAGGCCACCCGCATGTACGTTTATTTGAGAGGAGGAGGAGGATATTTTTGAAAGGGTGAAACATTATGAATATGTTAATTATATAATAATATGTATTATTATAAAAAAGAAAAAATAAAGCACGTTAAAATTTTTCTTTCTTGATTTTTTACAAAATCTACTTAGAATTATGCAAAATATGACTAAATAATTATAAATTTCAAGTTAAATTTTAATTTTGATAAATAATTTAAATTTCAAAATATCAAGTTCAGTTCGACTATGTATGTAGTAATTCCTCAATAAAGTGCCAAAACCCTATTAAAATAGATGAACATTTTCAACATTTTAATGTTTTTATTTAAAAATTTGATGGAATATGAGCTTCAAACAATTATTATGTAAATAAGAATAATTAAATATATGTATTTATTCGTATTACAACCGTAGTAAGTCGATTCTTCCTTTCTTCTACTGAGTTTTGAATTTGATTTCGAATTGTAAAGAGATTCAAAGGGAAAATACTAGCGGATAAAAACTACCTCCATGAAAGGGTCATAATGGAGTCAAGTTGTATTTTTTGATATTTTTTGCTTTTCGAGCCTAAATAGGTAGCCAAGATAATGCCTAAAAATAAGGTTCTAAATTCTGAAGTTTACATGATCCTCTCGTGTGCACCCTTAACTTTTTATGTTTTCTCCAATTTAATTTAAATTCGATTTTTTTCAATTGAAAATTAAATCTCATGATATATACTGGAGAGAATTACTAATTATTGGGTTGGATTCATGAGATTTCATTTTTTTTTTCAATTGAATATTGATTCATTCGCCAACGAACCACCAAGGACCATTATCACAACATCTCAATGATATTGATTACTCAAGCCAATAACGGAATGCTGTCCTATCAATGAAAAAAAATTCAACTTATCAAATTGAAAAAATATTATATCATAGTATACGCAAATGCAATAATTACATGATTATTATTTTGAATTCCTCTCAAAAATTGAGAAAATTTACCTAGCCATCTCAAAATTGAGATGAATGGTTAAAAATTTTTGTTCGATAGAAAATGAGGTTATATCGGCTATTAAATTTCGTAAATCACTTTATTTTATTGGATGATTCGCTCATTTATCAAGAGTACAAAACATCATTTCTCCCAGCAAGAAGACAAGAAGCTTAGAAACCTTGTGGCTGAGTATGGAATTCATGATTGGATAAGTATCTCTAAAAACATGCCTGGTAGAAATCAAAGACAATGTAAAGATCGTTGGATGAAATTCTTATCACCTGACATTAATAGAAAACCATTTACAAAAGAAGAAGATGATTTAATTATAGCAGAATATAATAAAATTGGCCCACAATGGGTAAGAATTACTGCATTACTTCCTGGTAGATCAGATGCAAGTGTGAAAGCTAGATATAAATTACTTACAAGAACAAGAACTCCAAGAAAGAAAAAGATTTGCAGAGAAATGCATAAGGAATTAAAATTAGAACCTAGAGCTAATTTTTCAAGTCCTGAAGAAACATTTCCTGCTTTAAATGTAGACCTACCAATGGTTGATGAAATTTTTGATGATTTATTTGGTACTTTTGAAATATTTTAATTTTTATGTATATATATTAAAGATTCATGTACGCTTACGATCAATATAATTTTTAAATTTACTTGATTAAATTCAAATTCAAAACAATGTAAAAATTCGAAAATAGATTAATATTGCATAGATATATTATTTGCAAGAAAACTCCTTTCACTTATCATAAAGTTTAGTTATGATTAAAATATCAATTCATTATTTTAAAAGAGAATAAAACTAAACTTATCATGAGAAGGTTATATTCATAATGACATTCATATTGCCAAAAATTGTTAGCTAATAGTGTAATTTTCCAAAATTAGTCGAAAATTTTGTTGCTGGTGAGCCTGAGAATCCCAAAAACATTTCTTTTTGAAACCAAAAATTATTGGTTGATAAGGACCTTAAATCATATCAACTAATTTTTTGATTGAAAATATTTTCTTTGACTTTTTTTGAAGGAATAGATATTTCAATTTTCTCATAGGTCAGGTGAGTGGGGCTTCCAGGCGCGTTGCGCCCTCTAGCCCCGAAGATGTTTAGTATAAATGAAGTTTTTATTCGGAAAATTGTTAGTCTTCTGGTGTGAATTCGGAGGACTCTTCTTGGATAGAGTCTTGTATTTCCTCCTCCTCTTCTTCCTCCTCCATTGCTTCTGGGAAGAAGCCTTCTTCTGGGTCGAAAACATTATATAATGTGTAATTGAATGACACATTATATCTTTCTTTGAGTTCGCTCCTGACAAAGAACTTAGTTCCAGGAATACAGAAGACTTCTGTGCGTTGGAAAAGCTGATGTCCTGGAACGAATTTGGCAATTAGAGACTTCTTTTTTCCGAATTGTTCAGGAGTTTTCATGACAACAGTAACAACATCTCCATCTGCGAGGTCTTGTTGTTGTTCGGAAAGGTAAAGAGCAATGATATGAATGGTTGCTGCGTTGAATTCGAGAAAGTCGAATTCAAATTGTGTTGTCGTATAACATTCAAACCATTTTGTACAGTTGTCTCCGAACTCGTCAATGTATTCATCTTCGTCATATCCGTAACTAAAGACTTGGAATTCGGCAATTCTCGTGTCGAATGACCGTTGGATGTAACGAGGAAGATTTTGACGAACTTGGTATAAAGTTCTCAACATTATAAGCTTAGTAAATGTTGGAAAATACTGAACTAAGACATCGCTAAGCTCAATTGGACTTGGAATTGTCTTAGTAAGTTCAATTGAACTAGTAATTGCTTTGTTCAGAACTTCACAGAACTGAGTATTGTATGTAGCGTCTGGTTGTGTGTTTTCTTCGGCGTCTTTGAGATATTTAGAGCAAATTTGTTGAAGAATTTCTCTTAATTCGCTGTTAGACTTTTTGGTGGTTATTCTAACCGCAGTGCCAGTTCTTGGAGGTTGTGGGGCTTTGGCTTTGGTTAGCGGTCGAGAATTGTTAATGTTTGAATTGTGGTTAACAGCGTTGGCTTCCATTAGATAAAAATGAACTGTTTTTTTCGGACCACTCATAGAAAAGTTTGAGATAAACCGTTTTCGTCAACGGAGACCCCCTCTATTTTTTTATTTTATTTAATAGTTACCGTTGGAAAAACGGTTTATCTCAAATATTGAATGAACTATAAACGTTTTTTGTTTCCTATATATACTTTTTTTGTCCAACGGTAAAACTTTTTACACAACGGTTTTTGAGAGTCGTCGCCGTTGACTTTTTTGTAGAGCACTCAAAATAGTATAACTTTGTCCGGACAAGTAAGGGTCTATCGTCGCTACAGGAAAAGTTACAGGCGTTCCAAGGAAGTATACTTTGAGAAGCCTTTTTCCCATTATAGAATGAGATAGGACGGTTATTTTACAAAACTGACAACACTTTGACCGAGTAGTTTTTTGTGCTGAACAAAAAGTGTCATATAAACATCTGTCAAAAACCGCTTTTTAACTTCACTTAAAATGCCACGTAAGCTACGTAAGAATATACGTAAGAGGAAGGGAGCATTGAAACATCCAATAGTAAAACTGACACTACAACAACAGTTGCAACAACAAATGATGAATGACCCCACTATGTTGCAACAAATGTCAAGCAACCCTATGCTTTTAAACCGAGTTATTGGTGCACAGAGTGGAGGTTTAAGAGCGGCACTTTTAGCGAAAATGGCAGGCTATGGTGGAGCTGCAGACGGAACAGCTTATAACCCTCAAAGTCAAATGAATTTGAGTTCACTCAAAAATCAAATAACAGATGTCAAAAAGTCAAACATAGACATACAGAAACAAATAAGTGAAAACGAAAAGAAACTAGAATATGACAGACAGACAAAGAAACTCAATGAGTTAAACGTAGAGAAAAAGAAGAAAGAAGAACAACTGAAAGAACTAAGTACAGAGGAATATGCGAAAAAAGTGTCAGAAAAAGCAGCAGAAGTAGCAAAAATGGAACAAGATGTTATAAATTTGAAAAACCATACTACTCAATATAAAGTACTGAAAGATGAAGAGATAAAACAAAAAGCCATGAAGACATATATGGATAGCGATGAGTATAAAAAAGAAGTTGAAGCAAATGTAAAGGCAGAAAAACTTTTACAGTTGCAAAACCAAACCGTACAGTATGAAAACTTAGCACAAGAAAGTAAAAATAACGACGCAGCCATGCAAAAGGCAATGAAAAGCGCAGAATATATAAAAGCTAATAATGACTGGTTAGATGCCCAAGCCAACGCTAAAGCAGCCCAACTTATAGGGTCAATAAGGACAAAAATACAAGCGGATGAAGACAGTTCAAATGAAGCTTTAATGAATGCTGACTTTAAGAATGCCTTCGAAGCTCTTCATAGTAAGGTGAAACTAGTGAACGACTTCTCATCTGGAAAGAAACTGAAGTCTGAAGGTTTCGACAAAGAGTTAAGAGAAGTAGCACAAAATATGACGAAAATAACAGATGCAGCAACGAGACAGGCAGTTCAAAGTGCCTATGACTCCGTTAGAGCAACTGTTGTGGAAAGTCAAGAAAAAGAGTTACAACAGACCAAAACAGACCTAGTAAATGCTTTCTTAAGAACGAAAAGTCAGGTAGGACATTATGCTGCAGATGGAACATATGTGCCAGCTGGTGGAACTTATATACCACCAAACCCTCCAAGAGAAGCACCTGCACCAGGACTACCTAAAACATTTACATCGTCACATGGACACAGACACAGGCATGCACCAAAACCAACACAACAACCAACAGTTCAAAATCCAGCACCACAACAACAACCAACAGTTCAAAATCCAACACAACAACCAACAGTTCAAAATCCAGCACAACAACAACAACCAACACAACAACCAACAGTTCAAAATCCAGCACAACAACAACCAAAACCAACAGTTCAAAACCCTGCACAGCAACAACCACAAACAGAGCAAGGACATAAAAGAAGTAGAGAACAAGGAAACCAAGATTTCTTAAAAATGCTTAAAGAAGACTATGGTTACCCAGCTACTCTTGACTTTAGTGACAGATATAAAGAAGCTATTAGAAAGTTCAAGGAAGGAAATACTGACCCGAACCTATTTAGCTTTATGGTTCAGCATCAAATCGGATATAATCTCAAACCTGGAAAATACAAGCTCGCTAAGGGATATGATTTAATAGCATATCATCCAAATGACATGAATGAATTTACTCCGAGATATTTGATGTCAGAGCTAAATGATAATTCAACTCTCTTCATGAAACGCGTAAAAAATAGAGACGGAACGAAAGAAGAAAGGTTTATGAGTCCGGATGACTTAGATAGGGAACTTGTTAAAAACGGTCTCGGAATATATGAAATGCCAGCAGATGAGGTACAAGAAACTCCACAGGAAGAAGTTCAGATACAACCAGACATGGAAGAAATAGTTCAGCAACAACAGCTAGAAGAGCCTGAAGGAAACGAACAAATCCCTCCTTTGGAAACTAACTTCACAGAACTAGATGAAGACTTGGAACAGCCGAAAAATCTTGACCCTCAACAAGAGTATGAGGTGAATATGGAACCTTTCCAAGAGTCTAAGAAAAATTCGGCTGACATAGTAGAAGAATATCGAAAAATGTTCACCGACATACAAAAGACTCCAACATCAGATGAAAATATTCAGCATAGAATGGAAGTACTGAAAGAAAATGTACGCAAATACAATAATCCTTTTTACTTACGACCATATAACGTTCAATCTTTGGCTGAACTCGGTGAAAATAAAAGGTTAAATTTCAACAAAACATATAGAAATGAAACATTGTTTAAAGTTCATTCAGAACCTAACCAATATGGAAACAAACCTACTTTTGTTTCTGCAGACTATGGAACTACAATGAGATGGGGTCATAAAGCTAATCCGGATAGGTGGTTCATAAACTTACAACCTCAATTCCAAGAAGTTGTAGACGCAATAGAAGTGAATGGTGAACCAGATATAACGGGTATTTTCAGCGCGGCTTTAATGCCATTGAAAGATATGAAAGATGCAGATATTTTGGACCAGTATGAAATGAACATGGCTGAGGGAAATATAACACCTGACGTTCTAGAACATTTATCTCAAAGAACTACACAGAACCATAGAGATGGTATATTTGGTGAAGAGTTTAGAAAGAAAGTTAGGGAGAGAGAAGGAAGAGAACTTATTGTACATGACCTTGCAAACGAAAGTTTGCAAAATGTCATAAAAACTTACTTTGCAGACAATGAACTGAGAAGGGATGAATATTTAAGAAAACTCAAATGGACAGTACCAAATGAAATGTTAGTATTGAAAAACATGTTCCATGACAAAATAAAACCAACTACAGAAATAAATGACGCAAGCCTGAAACGTTGGGTAAAAGCTTTCCCATTCACAAAAGATATTATTGGTTACATGGAAAGAAAACCAGAATGGCTACAAAAACATATATTTGGAAACGAGCTTATTCCATATGGACAAGCTCTGTTTGAAGAGCTTGAACCGGAAACTCAGGAAAGAGTCATGCAAACAATAAGCGAAGACTCAAATACAAACTATGACAAAATCTTTCTAGGATATAGGTTACCTGAGATGGGCGACCAGAGCCCAAAGGCAAAAAGGACATGGGAAATTTACAACATACTAGGTGAACATGAGGCAAAGATGCTACAACTTGAAGCAGAGGGCAGGTTACCAAAAGCGACACCAAAGAAGAAGAGAAGAGTAGAACAAAGTGAAAGTAGTGAAGAAGTAACTTCATCTAGTGAAAGTAGTGGCAATGAAGGAAAAAGAAGAGTTAAAAACTCAGTCAGGAAGAAAGTAAAGCTTGGTCCGAGTGGGTTCTATTATGACATATAAATCCAACTATTCTATATTTTTACCCATATGAAATGTACGCCGCTCAGAATATAACGCCAACAGTTTTGGATGCCATGAACGGAAATGTTTCCGAATGGTATAACGAATGCGACAATGCCATTAGAAGGTCAGAAATAGTTCCTGGAACTTACGAATATACAACTGCTGTTTCTTATAGAAACGTAGGTGAGTTTGGAGAAGGTTCTTCAACAACAGTAGATATTGCTTGCGACAGGTTTCATATTATTTCTATTGACAACTCATTCTTATACGTGGAACAAGACATTGAAATAAAACCTTCTGCCAAGTTGTCTGACAAGAAAGGTTGCAATGGAATTTTCTATGTCGGATACCAATATGCTCCAGAAGTTTTCATGGGATATAAGATATATTCTAACTCTGACTTAGTTCAAACAGTAACATGGGCAAACTATGAATGGTTCGCTTTGAGAAACTCAGTACAACCACAAGCTAGAGAACAAACAGACCAGTATGCAACTATTGAGAAAATAAGAAGACTTGACCCTAACGTTCCAGGAGTTTATGTTAACCTTTCTGGACAAACTGCAGCAGCAGTAACCAAAGTAAAACTGAAACTTAGAGTTCCTTTGTCATCTTTCCTCATCTTCAGGTTTTTAAGATACTTACCAAACTGGGCAGGAAAAATTTCTATTGAACTTACTCCAAGCAAAAATAACTTAGTCATTGCACCAACACAAGACCCATTCACTATTACAGACGTAAAGGGAACAAATCAAACGTCATTCGCCGAATTTTGCAAAGACAAAGTTGACTTAGACTTTGGTTTCTCAAACTTCAACAATGAAGTAAACTATTATTTCAATGCTGCTGGAACTGCTTGGGACCCAGTTAAGTTTACATGCGAACAGTTTGAATGCAAGAGAATAGAAAGCAGACTTGCAGTCTATATGTTGGACCCAGATATTTCAAATGCTTTAGCTGCCAAATATATTGCAGTTCCACTTATGTTCCCTATACACCAAATATCTGTCAAAGACTTTGCAGGTGAAGTTGGAAACCAAAATCCATGAGCCGCAGGTGCAAGAACAGATATTGCTTTAACAACTGCAATGAAACATGCAGATACTATGTTTGTACTGTTCAGACGAACTATAAATGACTATTCTTGTTTCTACAACCCTGGTATTAAATATCATATAAACATAGATGGCAAATATTATCCAAGAGAAGAATATTCTACAGTTGAGGATATGAGGTCATACAACTTGACATTAGATGCTATGAACTTTAACAACAACTTCACAACAACCATTAACCCTGAAATGCAAAATTCTATTATGCCATATGTGAAAGTATGGACTCATACAGGAGGTCAAAAAACTCAATATACAAATGGAGACCGTTCAAACTTTTGGCTTGGCATTCCATTTGCTGACTCAGAAGACTTTATGGGTGGTATTTCAACTGTTGGTACTGTACAAATACAATATACTGGTGACAGAGACGGTCCAGATGAATTGAGAGCAAAGAAGTTTACAAAACCAATAGCACTTTTCACGGAAGATGCTCTTTTGAAGATTCGTTCGATGAAACCTGCTGGGGCTCCTCAGATTGGCATAACGACAGCTTCCATCGAGCAGATTTTGGCAGCAGGTCAGTAAGTTGTTCTTGAACTGACTTCTCTCCGTCAAATATTGACAGTACGCCAGTTTTGACATAATATTGTATTATAAACTTTCCTTTAGTAATATCTGTAAGTTTTGAAGTTATATTTTTGTCTGCTTCAAGAACTTTCACCATTTCAGTTATACCAACTTTCTTTGCTTTATGAAAATATTTTGGTTCAGCAAATATTGCTATTCTATAACATTTTCCATTGTTTGTGTAAAGAACTATTCTGTCAATGTATTTGTATTGTTTGTGAGTATAAACTTTGTTCTGCTTCAATTCAATAAGATATCCGAATACGTCCATCTTTTTATTCTAAGTAAAATGTCATTTCCGAAAAATAGAAGCGTAAGTGTTTCAAAAGGTTTAATGGCGGTGGCAGATGTGAAGTTAAATTCACCAACTCAAACAAACAGTCAAAGTGTTGTTGTCAATGTCAAAGACAGAGATGTTGAAGTGGGGAAACCATACGAAGACGAAGATGGTATAACAATTGTTCCTGTAAAAGAACCAACATATCCTGAAGTTAACAGAGACTTAAGTTCTGTTGCAGATATTCGAAACGACTACCAACAACTGAAAGACAAACTTCAAACTCAGGAGAAGATTTGTCAAGCTTTAAGTATAATGTTAAACTTGGTCGAACACAACCCTGTAAAAGTGAACTCATATGTCATTGCACCTCATGAAGTTTTGAAAGAACTATTGAAACTTTTGACAGAGGCAGACGATATAAACATCAAAGAAATAGAACCCGACATTAGTTGCTGTGGTGTTTCATATAATGTCATTGACAAGATATACGTTATGAAAGGAGGTGAAACGTTGAACTTAAAATATAGTTTCCCAGACGTTATAAAAATATTTGACGACCACAACATTTCATTAAAATTTATTTGCTAAGTAAATGGCAGAAGACATAATGGTTTATACTATTACGACTAAAAACCCTGAGTCATATAATTCTATAACAACAAACTTACAAAGTCCTCAAGGACGATATTGTAAACTAACCTTAAACACAATGACGACTAAAGCCTGTTTTGCTCTTTTGACACCAGAAGACTTTATTGTTGTGAATGGTAAAAAATACTCCTTTGAAGATACTTACTCAGATATACCACCAACAGGCTTTGTTGACTTATTCAATACTTTAAATACGGGTGTAACATGTGCTGCAACTAGAGCAGGTTTCATTATGTTTGGATGTCCGACTGAGTTTACTATAAACGATATGAGCTATAATACAAAACTTATTTCTGGTTTTTACTACCAACAGTTTCCTATAACAGGAAAAGGTGTCATACAAGGAATGTCTATTCCATTGACATTAAGCACACCAATCTTATATATTGTTTCAAACTTAGGTTCAAAGTGTTATTCGAATGTCGACAGAAACTATTATGACCAAAAGATACTTATGCGTATAAACAATACTTTCTCTGCTGGTTTGCCTATTGTTCATTCGAATGCAGAATTTTCAACCTTAGTGAACTCAAACACTTTGGCAAGTATAACGTTGACATTAGTTGACGCAAACTTTGTTCCTGTAAAACTTTTATGTCCTATGTATTTGTCAATGACGGCAGAAAGTTTCGAATTGGAAGATGCAACTGGTGAAAGTATTGTATTACAAGAACAACTTCAACAACAAATAGCTCAAGAACAACAAATGCAACAAATGGAACAACAAAGTCAAGAATAAAAAAATATTATTTTTTATTTTTATAAAAATGTACAGAATAGATGTTTCAGATTTTTATGACTTCCAGGCATTCAGAAATATGTGTCCATTTAGAGACTATAACAAATCAGTCGAGAATTTGAAACGTTTAGTCATTTATGTCGACTCTGCCCCAGAATGTTATGTTATGAAAGAATGGGATGTTGTCTTTAACAAACCAAGAGCAACAATAGTTTCAGAACAAGAATGTAGACAGAAACTTAAGAAAATAAAAGTTGTACAAGTTGGAATGAAGATGTTAGATGCTTGGGATATCTTATTGTCAAAGTTAGAAGATTTTTCAGTTCGAGGTATAAAGTTCTATACACCTTCTCCAAACTTCTATTCTATCTTCACTGGATATAAATACGAACAAGTAGAATGGAAAGAAAATATTATAGAAGCTTGGTTAGACCATGTCAAAGAAATTATATGCAATGGCAACGAAAAGGTTTATGAGTATATCTTATGTTGGTTTGCAAACATCTTACAACATCCAAGTGCTAAAAATGAAACTGCTCTCATTATAATTGGAAAACAAGGAACAGGTAAGAATACTTTCTTTACAGATATTTTGTGCAAACTGTTAGAAGGTTATTCGAATCCGAATATGACAAACTTAGAAAACATCTGTGGCAAGTTTAACTCCTCAATAGAGAATATGAAACTTATAGTTTGCAATGAACTTCAAAGTATAGATACAACAAAAGTTTTGAACTCAGATGCTTTGAAGAGTCTTATAACAGACAAAGTTGGAGTTGTTGAAAGAAAGTATAAAGACCAAAAAGTTTGTGAAAATGTTGCAAACTTCATTATGGTTTCAAACAATGCTGTTCCGATGAAGTTAGAAAGTTCTGACAGAAGATATGTAGTTGTCAGAACGTCAGATTCTCATATGCAAGATACAGAATATTTTGACGACTTAGCAGAAACTTTGACATCTGACTTTTTCAACCACTTGTTCTCATATTTCATGACATTAGATATTTCTAAGTTCAATCCAAGACAAATTCCACATACCGAAGAGAGACAAACATTGTTAGAAGCAAACAAGAGTGTATATGAACTGTTCATAGAAGAAAGCGACTTTGAGTGTTTAGATGAAAAGTCTTTATATGATGAATATAAACAATATTGTCAAGAATATGGTTATATGGCAGCTTCTAAACGTACATTCTTGGCAAATGTCAAAAGTCTTTTAGACGTACAGAATGGTGTATATACAAAGAAAAATTTTTCTGAGTAAATTTAAAAAAAAATATTTTTTATCCGATAGAAAAGATGACGAAATTCATCTCGGTAAACAAGTACATGTCAGGACTTAAAGAAGAACTAGACCCATTCACATATTTGAATGTTTACTTCTACCATTTTGAAAAGTCTTCATTCAGCAAAGTTTGGAACATCGAACCAGTTAAGTTTGCTATTGTGACTAAAAATGGTGCGAAATTTGAAGACTTAGACATAGAAGGTTTGTTAACAGTCAAAGAAAGTTTTGACAGAAGGTTCTCAAACCTTAAAGAAGGCAAAGCATACAAACTTGTTATACCTTATGAACCAAAGAAGACAGACGACTATGAATATTATGAGTCTAAAGTTGTAGAAGTTCAAGGTAAATTGGGTAAAAAGATTTTAGAGTCTAAGCCAGTGTTTGCTCCTAAAGAGGAAGAGAACATTGACATTGACCCAGAAATGTTCTAAAAATAAAATTTTATTTTTACATGTCAAATTTCTTTTTCTCTGGAACTGGTTCAGGTTCTTTCTTCTCTTCTACTTTTTTCTCTTTCTTTTCTTTCTTCTTCTTCTCTGGTGAAGTTATGTCAAATTTCTCAGAACCATATTTCTGTAAAAGTTCTTTGTCCTTTAATAGCTCATTTATTCTGTTTTCTATTTCATCTTCAAGAACACCGCATGTGTCTTCTTTGCATTCTAAGAACTTTTGTTGGACTTCATCTTTCCAATCGGCGTCATCTCTGTCAACAAGTCTGTCATTGACAAATTTTAAGACTGCTCTTTGTAATGTTTTATGGTTCTTGTCATATTCCCAGAAACAGAACTTTAGAACAAATTCACCTTTCTTGTTTACACTATGTAAGATTTTATGGTCGACAGATGTTTTGCTGTCAAAAAGTTTGTCTCGAATATAGATAGCGAAATCGCTAGACATTTTCTAAAAGATAAAAATTTTAATTTTTCTAAAAATATGTTAGAAAAAAAAGTTTGCTGACATTGACAAGAAATTTGAGAATGTTTTAGACAAGAACAAGAGGAAGTTAGAAAATGCTCAGATAAAGCCTATACATGAAAAGTTCTTATTTGCTCAGAATGGTATAACAGGTCTAATTGCACCACCTGGGTCGGGTAAGACTTTCACTTATCTTAAAATGGCTGCACAACAACAAGAACTAGATGAGAAGAACCCATTCTATGAGTTAGTTGTTATTTGTTCGACTTCTGGTCAATTTGACCAAACCGTCAATTCGTTCAAAGATATTATAAAGAAGTCTAAGTTAGTATGTATAAAGGATACTGAGTTGTTAGATTGGATAAAGAAGTACCAAAGAAGGGTTTTGAAGTATAATGCTATAAATGAGTATATAAATTCGAAGTTTAAAGACCCAAATGAGGAAATGCAGAGAATATTAGAGATGAAACACTTCAGAAACAAACAGAAAGAGATAGAATACATTTCGAAGAAATTGCAATCTTACGATTGGAAGACTTACCCTCATAGATGTCTTCTTATCTTAGATGACTTTGCATCTCATCCTTTGTTAAAGAACAGAGAACAAGATATGTGTCGAATTCTTAAGAAGCTCAGACACTTTAACATCTCAGTTGTCATTTGTGTACAGACAGCAAAGAGTTTAAGTAAGGATGTTAAAAGAATACTTACTGACATAATACTTTTCCCCGGATTGTCCGAAGACGATTTCATGGAACTTATGAAAGAGTCCATGGCAGGTAAGTTTGACAGACATGAACTATGGGAGAAGTACAAAGTCATACAAGACCCTCATACTTCTTTCAGAATTCATATCTACGCAAACAAAGTTCAAATTGTAAAAAGTCAAGCTTGAAAAATCTAAGTGTTTAGTCTTAGTAAGATGGTAGCTTCTTAAAGCAAATACCATTGCTGAGTTTTATGTACGTGAAGAGAAGTACAATGAATTCAATTACGAGTACAATTGCAATGACAACTAAGGCAACTATTTTTGTTTTTTGCCAGCAAGGGTACTTCTTCTCTTCCAATAGTTCGGCAGAACTATACTCACTCATGAGAAATGCCAAAACGGTTTAATAGAAAAAGTGTAATTTTTTCATGTCCGAAGACTCGAAGGTGCAACACTTCCAAAATACCGACGAACTCAGAAGAGCAGCATGGCAGTATGTTCTTGACAACTTCTTTGAGTTCTCCAGGTACACCTTGGAAAATGCTGAAGAACTCCGACACAGAGAATTTGGAGAAATTGCGCTCCAATACTACATTGACAAACAAAGGGTAAATTAAGACTAAAAACTTAACGTTTAAAAAGTGACATTTTTATGAGCTCCGAGTCACCGAGAAAACTTGGTCAGATGTTAGCAGCTTACTTCCCTGAGGAGGATGGAAGCGTTACATACATAAGGTTCAAAAACAACGAACCTGGAATTGCGTACCAAATTCGCAATTACATGACCATGGAAGAGTACGAAAGGTTTCTACAAGAGAAACCAGCTCTAAACAACTCAGAAAAGAAAGAGTAAAAAGTTTAATTCGTAATTATTTATTTTTTTACTTGTATGGGCAAGCTGCAAGAATGAAGTCGACTATCTCAGTCTTTGTCTTGACCAGTTGGACTGCTCTTGTAAGCACGTCTGTTTTGCGGTCTCCAGCTGGTGTCTGACCTTCGTAATTGCGCATGTTCTTGAGAGCTCCAACTGTAAATGGTTGTAGGATGAAGAGTCTCTCAGACTGCTTGAGGTAGTCTTCACGGTCACGAACCGAATCTGTGGTACGAGTCGAATCGGTCGATTTGAGGTATAGATCCGTATTTTTCCCAAGTGAGCGGGGTATCTCTAATCCCAGCCCTATCGTCCTCCCAGTGTCAGTTTTTAATATAAAATCCAAAATTTTTTAAAAAATAAAAAAATTTCGAGAAATTTTTTAATTTTTTTTTCTTTGATTTCAATAATACAAAATAAATTTGGGAGTAAAAAGACACTATTTAATGAAATTCATATGAGTGAATGTGGATAAATACTCTCAAAACATACAATTTATATATTTTTTCTTTATGTTATCAACTAATTAGTGATAATTTTTTTTGAATCAGATTTTTTTTTCATTAAAAATATATTATATAACGCAATAATGATGTACACATACGTATCTACACATCAAAATATAAAGTTTGTTTTGGTCTGGGCATCCCAACCAAAAATTCTTAAAAAATTGAATAAAATTGAATACTTGGGGCTGGGATACCCAGCCCGAAACCGAATTGAATTTTTTGAATTAAATAATATATTTACGTATTTATAATATATATGTGATGTTTATAAAAAATACTAAATTTTTGTAAAAAAAATTCAATTTATTCAAAACGTATATTAAGTGATCATTTCATTAGTAGGATCAGCGATCCTACTAAATGGTGAGAATGCCACTAGCTAAAAAGGGAGTCCTTGGAGCTCTTGATCTCTTGTCAGTAGAGTCCATAATGAGGCATGGCATCTACTGATTAGAGATCAGAGCAATTCTACCTTACCTTCAGGAGCTACAAAGCTCCTAATCGTTACAAGAGGGAGCCTTGGAGCTCCTGAAGCTCATCAGCAGAGGCTATTTACCATTTGGGCCTCTTCTGATGAAAGATGCGAAGCTCTTCTACGAACCAGGAGCTCCAAAGCTCCTAATCCTTACGAAAGGGAGCTTTGGAGCTCCTGAGTCTTCATCAACAGAGTCCCAGATGGTAAATGTCCTATGCTGATGAAAGATGCGAAGCACATCTTCGAACCAGGAGCTTCAAAGCTCCCATTCCTTACGAAAGGGAGCTCTGGAGCTTCTGAAACTCCTTTTATTATCAGATAGGACAGTTTTCTTCTGAGGCTTCTCATCAAATCTAAGACTTCAGAAGAAAGCTGTCCTATCCGTGTATACTTACATTCTAATTGACTACAAGTGTACAACTTTAAGGCAGAGATTATCCGAGGCCTCTCATCAAATGAGGGACCTCGGATAATCTCTGCCTTAAGTAGTCAAATAACTTTTCTGACTATTCAGGAACAAGAGAACAAGAGTTGGAATACTTTAAGGCAAGGTTCTTCCGAAATCTCTCATCGAATGAGAGACTTCAGAAGGACCTTGCCAAATCCTTGAACACTGATATCCTTGGAACTGAGCTAGGACCAAGGAGAAGTAGTGTACTATAGCTCACGATGGTAATCTCGGAAATACTTATATTGCCACATGCACAATATCTATTCAGCCAGACTCCTATATACAAGAAGTCAGGCTGAATAGATATTGTGCATATGGTTTGCAAAACTCTAATAACACATAAAATTTTGTTATCCCAAAAACGTGACATTTTGGGTGTATCGTCCATCCCAGGGATGCAAAAATCACATCACCTTGTATCTATAATTTGAGGGAAGAGACTGAAAGCCTGTCGTCTTCCATTGGAGCTGTAGCATACTCTTTGCGTAAGCGGTTCAGACCTTCTTCGAAGTCTTGGTCTCTCTTCGATTGAGATTGGAATTGGAATTGCTGGGGTGGAGCTTGCTGGAACAACCAAGGGTTGGGGAAGTAAGGCATAGGCTGAGGAGGGTAGTTCGGGAAGCCTTGTGGTGGGTAGTAACCTTGAGGTGGAAATTGGTAGTAATTCGGAGGTACTTGCTGGAACTGAGGTTGCTGAGGAGACTGTTGTGGTTCTGCAGCTTTCGGTTCTTCTGGCTTTGGAAGGCATTCAGGAAGAGGAACGTCAGTCATCCGTTTGTGTCCTGTCGGAAGGAAAAATTTTTCCTGTCGGAAGGAAAAACTTTTTCTGAAGTTCGACCAAAAAGTTCTCAATTTACGAAAATTTGAATGGTTTACGGACGGACAACTGGAAGAGTTCTTCCTGTCGGAAGGAAAAATTTTTCCCTTTGTCGGGAAAATATTTTCCTGTCGGATGGAAGAACTTGGAATGCAAGAAAGACTTGACGAGGCAATTTACCTAATTGAAATTAACGACTGCGTAAAAGACTACTTGCGCAAGGTAATGAAGCCCAAGGTCAAGTTCATCACTATTTCTGGAAGGTCTACACTTCAGCTCGAGACTTCGACTGGAATTCCAATTCAAATACCAGACGGGACAGCCTACGATGGCATAAAGGACGCCAAAAGAGAAGCTCTTGTTAAGTTCCTAAACAAACGTCCTTGGATAAAAATACCAAACAAGGAGAACCCCCTACCCCATATGAAATTGGCAATTCAGTCTCTCCTTCACTTCTCTGGTCAGCCGTTCTACATAACCTGTGAAGGCGACATTCAGCCAGTTCAGTAAACATCTCATTTTAACTCACTTTTTTATGTTTTTACTCACACTCGTACTCACCAGGTATGAGTACAATTATTTCAACTGTGAACCTTGTAGTGACCGGTCTTCCTGCAAATGCAAGTTCGGTCAATACACAGTTTATGGTGGCAAGAAAGACAGTGGGGAATGCGCGCTCGAGAGAGAATTGAAATTCCAGACCCAACTCCAACAAGAACTCTCAAGTTGCCAAAGACTCATGTGAAGAAGAAGCCTTCTGGTAAGTTTCTTATAGCCATATACATGGCACGTTTAGAGTAAAAACATTTTTTTTCATTTTTTGAATGAAGCAAGTTAAATTCGTCCCACACCAATCTCAATGGACCGATGAAGAGTTTCAAGCTATGGTTGAAGGTGTTGAGAACGACATAGACGGCGAACTTGAAGGAGCTCAAACCACAATTGCAACCAAAATTGCAGAGGTCAAGGAACAGATAGCTCCACTTAAAGCTACCAAAGCTACTTTTGACCTCATGGATACTTACCGTTTAGATGTCAAGAGAGGAATAAGACAATTAAAATTAAAACTCTTAAATTACGAAGCTATACTCCAGAAGTTAGCAGAAATGAGAAGACTTTACCAGAGCTACTTACATGTAAGGGACTTACCTTCAAGCAGTCCGACCAAAGATGAATTTTCTGACATTGTCCCAATTTTGTCCGAAAGTCAGCTCAGATGTTTTGAACTGCTCCCAACATATCCAGAATATGAACGTTTGCCTGAACTCTTCCGCAATCTCAAAAAACGTTTTTTGGTTCTCATGTTCGAAACTTTTATCGGAAGAGACAACAAACGTTCAGAAGAAGAACAAGATATTATTTTAAACTTGTTGTATGACATAACTGTCATAACAAGCTTTTTGAAGTAAAACCGCCATTCTCAAACCACTTCATTTTTTCGATGTCCGAACAAGCACCGAAGCCGAACACAATGGCAGATGTCCTTTCAAGGTTGCCAGACAAGCGCCCAATTCAAATTCAAATTGCCCAATTGAAAGCTCATCTGACAAACACCATTAAGACGAGATTATTTTTTGTCGCATATTTGCGCATATTATGACACTTTTTCTAACATTTTTCTATAAATTGAGAGCAAAAGTATTCAAAATTTTGTCAAAATATGCGCAAAATTGAGAACTGCGCATATTATGACACACAATTATTTTTGTCCGTTAATGGAAACACAATCTCTATGCATTGCTTTTCTTCATGTCTTTCGCCTAAAGGTATGTTTAAAACAATATGTATGAGATACGTATTATAAAAGATTTGAAAAACTCACATATTATTATCAAATTTTCAAATTTTTATCGAGAAAATATTGAAATCAAGACGAAAAAATATTGTTCATAACAAAATATTATAAAGATCTAGCATCTACAAGAGTTTCAAAGAAAAACAACCAACTTAAATTTTCTACTTCAAAAATAAGAACATCTTTCAAGTGTGACAAGCAAAAAAAGAATACATACGAATAGTTCAATTTGAAATGAATGATATGTTTATGTATAAGCTAGATTTACCTACATTCGATAATTGCTAAACGTTCATAACTTTGCGAGATATTAAAGAGAATTTATCGCTATTTACGTTATTTTCGACAATATATCAATATACGGCGATTGTTAAGTGAGTAACTGAGAAAAAAATAAAAGATTTGATTAATCTGAAGATCAAAAGAAGATAACAAGAGAAAAATATGAATAAATAAATGAATAATGAATAGAAAAAAGAAAGAAGAATATTGAAGATGATTAAATGAAGTTATTATAGGAAAATTAAAAAATATTACTAAAATTAAAGATATCTGACATGTTTACATATCTAATAATAATATATTTGTCATTTAAATCTATTTTGAATCATAGTAAACTATGATTGTCGTATGATTTAAAAGAATCTCTAAATTTGCTTACTAAAATTAAAGATATCTGACATGTTTACATATCTAATAATAATATATTTGTCATTTAAATCTATTTTGAATCATAGTAAACTATGATTGTCGTATGATTTAAAAGAATCTCTAAATATCAAGTCAATTTCTTATAAAATTGTTATCCATCTCTTACATTTTTTCATAATTACTACCTATATTATCAATCTCAACGATGACAATATCTTGTTATCAATATATTAAATTTAATTTATAACTTAACATTCAATGTTTCCATCTATTCTTTCCATATATTAAATTCTAAAAACACTTTAACAATTGTTCAATAAACACAATATTTATAACATTTAAAAATATTTCAATTGAATACATCTGATTCATTTAATGTAAATTCTGTGATTTTTCCATCTTCATCATTTTCTAAGTTTATTTTAATTGAATCATTTATCTCTGAATCATTCCTGTTCATAAATTTCTCAATTTCAATATCACGATAATCAATATCTCCTGGATGAAATTGATTTTTGTATTTGTCAATTTCTTCTTTTGGTATTTCTGAAATTTCGAGATTAAAATTTCTTTCAAAAGTAAATAATTCTTCATTAATTTTAGTTAACGAGATATAGTACGATTTTTTATGATCATACTGGTTTCGTTGATTGGTTAAATATCTATGAGCGATTACTGTATCAACTTGAAGTAAAGTATATATCATATGGAAAATTGTTGGATGTGGATATATTATGTGTGAGTTCAGTACCTTGTTAAATGATTCCACGCCATTATTCGAAAAAAATCATATCCTTCACATTCATTTTATTTATTTCTTCGTATTTATATTTCCATGTGCGAAGGAAATAAGTGGCAAATTTTGAAGTATCTTGGAACAGATAAGTTTAAAAACTGAATTAGGAACGAATGGGCACCCACATAATAATTTTAATAAAGATTTGGATGCATGATCATCTTGATTGCACAACTTCTTAAAGTTCTTTACAAGCGCAGCAATGTAATGAAATATGCATCCAGTAAGAACTGTCTCTTTGCTGATCTTTTCTTTGATAGAGTTCATCAAAGCTGCTTCAAAATCTGTTGTGATGATGGAAAATTGATTAAGACCAATTTTAATCTTTTCATGTGTTAACATCATATTGAAAACAGTATTATAATCATCAGCACTTCTTCCCGTCATCAAAACATGTAGAAAAGGGAGATATAAATTTGTAGCATTATCAAATACCAAGAAATTCAATAATTGACCATTTGAGAGATTTATTGGTACCACTTTGAATGTACCATCTATGAACAAATGTTTTAAAGTTCGTGCACGATTAATGAATAAAGGCAATCCAAAAAAGTAAAACTTAGAATCATCAATATTGGAATAAATTTTTGTAATATAGAAATTTTGATTGTTATAATGTTCAAGTAATTTTTTAATCAACTCATCTTCGTTCATTTTCATTTTTGGTTTAATTTCCTGGTACAACCTTCTGATAACATCAGACGATATTTCAATAATATCATCGTGAGATTCGTTATATTCCAACACAAGCTGATTTGCAAATGCTATTACCTGACTTAATGAAACAATAGGATTAACCTGAATGAAATTTTGTATCTCACTCTCAAGTTCTAATTTATTTTGGTTAGTACCATCAATAATTGAAGATTTTGTATGTTTTGGACATCGATGTGGAGGATTAATTTCACAAACTTCAGCTTTTTTGCCTGTATTTGCTGGGAACAATGTAACAAGTTGAGAATAAGAACATCTTTTCTTTTTGGCGCAATAATAAACAATTTCCAATCGATCAATTTTTGAATAATATATTTGAAAGCGAATAGGGATCCCTTCTGGATATATAACACTTTGATATTTCAATTTATCTGAATCAGATATTTGAAAAGTATGATATGTTCTTAGAATGTTTTTTTATTCTTATTTTACATTTGTCTTGCTCATCTTGATTCATGATAATATAATTAGGAACACATTGTTTGCATGTATCTTCTGTAATGGCAGCTTTTTGGACTTTTGATTTAGTTTTTTGATATTGAAATGCATTTTGAATTAGAATGTTTGAATTGAGTAGATCATCAATGGGAAGATTATCAGTAAAATGAGTAATGTTTGAAAGTGATGGCAATGGAACTGTACTATCTACAGTTGGAGGATTAGAAACAATCCTTTGTACGGAACTCTGATTTGCAGCAATTGGAGGATTAGAAACAATCCTTTGTACGGAACTCTGATTTGCAGAAGTTGGAGGATTTGAAGGTATCCTAAAAATTGCCGTTCGATTAATTCTTTTAGAACGAGAAGGTGAAATTTGAACATTTCCATGAAGATTTATCAAATTTTGATTTCTTTCAATGGATTGTAAACTTCTTTCTTGATTTGTCAAATTTTGATTTCTTTCAATGGATTGTAAACTTCTTTCTTGATTTGTCAAATTTTGATTTCTTTCAATGGATTGTAAACTTCTTTCTTGATTTGTCAAATTTTGATTTCTTTCAATGGATTGTAAACTTCTTTCTGGATTTGTCAAATTTTGATTTCTTTCAATGGATTGTAAACTTCTTGCTTGATTCCTATCTTTATTTTGTAATATATTATTACAACTTTCATTTTCAAGCTCAAATTCATTAAATGATTCTTCTTGTTCAGATTGTTTTTGACTGTTTTCCGACGAATGTTTTTCAATAAATTTTAATATTTGGCATTCCGTATTTTTCAATTATGCCAATGATGATGGTGATTCATCAGAATATCCTAATGGCCATTTATCTTCCATTGATTTTGTATCACCATTATCATTATCAGCAACATCTATAGTAGCATCTTTACTTTCCGATTCCATTTTCTTACATTCTGTTCCATTTTCTTTGGATTCCTCCTCTTATTATAACGAAAAGTAATTTACAAGCAGCATTAAATATTTTTAAATGTTATAAATATTATGTTTATTGAACAATTGTTAAAGTGTTTTTAGAATTTAATATATGGAAAGAATAGATGGAAACATTGAATGTTAAGTTATAAATTAAATTTAATATATTGATAACAAGATATTGTCATCGTTGAGATTGATAATATAGGTAGTAATTATGAAAAAATGTAAGAGATGGATAACAATTTTATAAGAAATTGACTTGATATTTAGAGATTCTTTTAAATCATACGACAATCATAGTTTACTATGATTCAAAATAGATTTAAATGACAAATATATTATTATTAGATATGTAAACATGTCAGATATCTTTAATTTTAGTAAGCAAATTTAGAGATTCTTTTAAATCATACGACAATCATAGTTTACTATGATTCAAAATAGATTTAAATGACAAATATATTATTATTAGATATGTAAACATGTCAGATATCTTTAATTTTAGTAATATTTTTTAATTTTCCTATAATAACTTCATTTAATCATCTTCAATATTCTTCTTTCTTTTTTCTATTCATTATTCATTTATTTATTCATATTTTTCTCTTGTTATCTTCTTTTGATCTTCAGATTAATCAAATCTTTTATTTTTTTCTCAGTTACTCACTTAACAATCGCCGTATATTGATATATTGTCGAAAATAACGTAAATAGCGATAAATTCTCTTTAATATCTCGCAAAGTTATGAACGTTTAGCAATTATCGAATGTAGGTAAATCTAGCTTATACATAAACATATCATTCATTTCAAATTGAACTATTCGTATGTATTCTTTTTTTGCTTGTCACACTTGAAAGATGTTCTTATTTTTGAAGTAGAAAATTTAAGTTGGTTGTTTTTCTTTGAAACTCTTGTAGATGCTAGATCTTTATAATATTTTGTTATGAACAATATTTTTTCGTCTTGATTTCAATATTTTCTCGATAAAAATTTGAAAATTTGATAATAATATGTGAGTTTTTCAAATCTTTTATAATACGTATCTCATACATATTGTTTTAAACATACCTTTAGGCGAAAGACATGAAGAAAAGCAATGCATAGAGATTGTGTTTCCATTAACGGACAAAAATAATTGTGTGTCATAATATGCGCAGTTCTCAATTTTGCGCATATTTTGACAAAATTTTGAATACTTTTGCTCTCAATTTATAGAAAAATGTTAGAAAAAGTGTCATAATATGCGCAAATATGCGACAAAAAATAATCTCCATTAAGACTCTCCAAAGTAGTCTTATGACAGAGATGACCAATCTCAAAGCCGATGTCCTCATGAACCAAGCTTCCAATGAGAAATGCCTGAACGATTTCTCAGAATCGTTGCGCAATTACGAGAGAGAGAACCGAGACCTTGCCAGACTCATCTACCGTTTCTTCGAAGAGATAGACGCCATCTGGAAGGTACGCGGAAAGGACAGAACATGCAACACCGTACTTCGTGAGTACCAAATTGAAGAAGGAATTGTCGAGGAAGAAGAGGAAGAAGAGGAAGAAGAGGAAGAAGAGGAAGAAGAGAAACACGAAGAAGTTCCTGAAGCCGCTACATGGGCAACCCTTGTTGCCGATGACGGTTACGAAATTTCCCAACCCTACCCATACCAAATCCGCAACAAGGAGACAGGCAAGGTTCTTACCCCAGTCCTCAACAACTTGGGACACTTGAACCTTAACCTTCGGAATCGCGGTTCAATCTCCATGGGCAAGCTTGTCGCAATTCAATGGGTTCCAAATCCAGACAAGAAGACGAAGGTCAGACACATTGACAGTGACAAGCTCAACAACCGTAAGGAGAACCTCGAGTGGTTCTAAGAGTAAAAAAATTATTTTAGGGGGAAACCCCAAGTAAATTTAAGTTTTTATTTTTGGTATTCGTACCAATTTTGGAATGTGAAGACCACATCCCAACCTCTGTACGTGAGTCTTGGGTCCACGTCTAAGACCCTTCTGTAGCAATTCCAAGCCCGAGCAAATTCAATTGTCAACCACTCGTCTCCTCTGTAGTCTTCAATCCATTCTTTGAAGAGACGGTCGAGTTCGGGCTTGGAATATCTCTTGCCTGGGTCCGAGACCAACATTTGGTTGAACTGGACGAAGCGCTCAGGGATGTACGCCATTAAAAAAATGTCACTTTTTTAAAAATAAATTTTTTATTTCATGCAATGTTTAACTATTTCACCATCTTCTTTAACACCCCAGTACTTACGCTTGGAGAGGACATGAACTTCGGTGAAAATTTTGTCCAATTTGAATTGACCCATCTTTTCACCGACTAAACCCATTTCAATGAGTTTGTTATAGCCTTCTTCGTTCGTCATGAGTGCGTCAATGTTCTCATAGTAAACCTTCACTTTGGATTTGACTTCGGAGAAGAATTTGTTGTAGTTGTCAAGGACTGCCTTTGCGAACTGAGGGTAAGACCAATGTTCGACAATAGGTTTTAATGTGGTTACTAAGCCACTTTGACCTTGAGTGAATTCGTACTTCAAAACAAAAGGAGAAAACCTTTCAACAAAGTTGTCGACCTTCTCATAATGTTTACTCTTCATCTCTTGAGGTTTCTTAATGGAATATCCCCATGTCGAATTCATAAGCAATTTGAGTGTCATTGCAAGTTTGGGGTTTGAAGCTTTCCTAATATCATACAGTTGTTGTATGACTTTTCCAACTGTATAGTTCCTTCCCGGGAACTCACCATCTTCGTTTGGAATTCCAGTCGGAATATATTGGACAAACCTCATGTATGCAGCGTTAAGGTCGACATAGTATATCTTTTCATCTGAGTCGAACTTGTCGCAACCAATTGGTCCAGTTTGTGGAAATTCAAGTGAGTCTCTTATCTTCTGAGAAACTTCTCCTGTTATCTCATAAACATCGTCGAAGCAACCTGTTTCATATAAAACCTTCTGACCTAACTCAGATGCTCTCCAATACAATTTGACGTCAATTGGATGTCTCAATGGAAGTTTGTTTATAGCATCTTGAAGTTCTTGCAACCTCATTGGAAGTTCTTCTGGTTCAGGTTGGTATCCGAACATACCAACCCCTTGTGGAACTGTGTACTTCTTTTGTACTAGAACTTTGTCTGGAACAACTTTTGGTCTTGCTAACAATGAAAAGTTTGTTTCGTCTTTTGGTACAAAAGTTTCTGTCAGCTTGTCATCTGGAATTGGTTCCAACAAACCTTTCTCGAAAAGAATGTTTACAGCTCTGACAATGTTGCACTTACTTTTACCAAAGAATGGGTTTGTAAGACTTTCGTTCAACATGAAGTGGTTGTGGACAATTACAATCTTCAACCATGGTAAGTCTTTGTCAACAACATAGTCGTCATGTGAAGAACCTTTAGCTGTAGGTATGTTGACTCGGATATTGACATTTGCCAACGGTGCAATTTTTGCCAATTGACCTCTGAGAATGTACCTTGTCTTCACGCATGACTCAAGATACTTCATCTTCTCATCTGTAACAAGACCAGAGTTCCTGAGACATGTAAGAATACAAGGTTCATTGACAATTGTTTCAATTGAATTGTAAATTCCATACCTTGTCAAGTCAATGTCAGACTTATTTATGAACGGGAAGTATCCAGCATGTTGTCTGACTGCTTGAGGGTTAGGTTGGTACCATTCGAACTTGACACTTGCAATTCCTTCAATTGCATTCAAAATGTCTGAGTCGGAGTCAACCATTTGTTCTCTCTTTGTAGTCTTGAAAGCGTCAAGAAGTTTTGCGGCTGTTTGTTCATTGCCATGTGCATAGTAAATGTGACCATCCAAATCTGTTATGGTCAATCTGAGATTGTGTCCTTTCTTATTTCCGTCTTGAATTGCAGCAAGTACTCCCATGAAGCCTTCTTTGTTCTTTCCTTCGTCAAAGTTTACTGTAAAGGTTCGACCAGATGTAATTTGACTTCTAACTTCACGATACTTTTCATATGCATATCTTGTTCTTTCCATGGGAGCATGTGCGTCTTCACCTTTTCCTTTTTTCCTTCTCAAAGGATGCAATTGTTCGTCATGTTTCCAGTAGAATCTGGCAAAGCCGTCGTGTCCTTCAACTTGAGGTTCACTAACATCGAAAGGCATGTCCATAAGACGTTCTTCTTCTAACCTCTCTAGTCTGTTTGGATAATTGGCACGTGCTGTTTCCAAATCCATTTCGTAGCGAAGACCAGACAATTTGTCATAGACTTTTATGGGTCTTCCCTTCCTATATTTAAAATTCTTCGAAACTCTCCAACCATATCTTTGTAACTCTGCTTTTATTCTAGCAGACTTTTTATCCATTCTATATGGGGGCATTTTTATAAAAATAAAAAAATATGTTTTTTTTCTTTACTTTACATAACCGCCTGCTGCCATAAGTCTTTGACGCCAACCCATACCAGCTAATGAAGGTTGACTTGGTTTAGTTTGGAAACTAAACTTTGGTTTTGGTTTATCTTCAGTTTTTGGTTTTTCTTCTTCTATCGGTTTTTCGTCACTTTTCGGTTCCTCTGACTTTACTTCACTTGCAGGAACAGTTGTGTCGTCAACATCTTCATAAATATCATATGCCATTTGTTTTTGTTTTCCTTTCAACTTTTTGTGTTTGTTGTAAAGTTTAGAATATTTCGACTCTAAGTCAATGAGATGTTCTATAATGAACTGTTGGTCAGTGAAGTAAACTTTTCCATCTGTTGTCTCGAAAGCTCCTTCAGACTTCAATATTTTATTTGTGAGAGTCTGTTTCTTTTTTGAGATACTAGCCGTTCCATTTCTATGAAAAGTGACTTTATAGTTAGGGTTTGTATTTCCAGACCTGGCACTTTCTATTATTGAATTTTTCTCTTCATCTGTAAGTTCTTTGACAGGTTTTGACAATGGTTCTGAACTTTTTGTTTGTGGTGTCAAATCTACCGTTTCAACTTCTTCGGTCATTTCATCTCAGTAAAAAATTTTAGTTTGGTTTGTTTTCAACTGGTTGTTGTTGTGGAGGTGGGATGGTTCCTTTAATAATATCATTCAGTTTCACATGCTGAGCCTGACTATATGGTATCGGTTTAAATGCTGGAAGCCGACAAATCCATCTTGAACTCATTTGTCTCAATGCTGCATTGTTCATTTCATCTCAATAAAAAACTTTACATTCCCCACGTTTGAGGCGGTTGAGGTTGGTTATTGTTTACCCACTGTTGTACATGGTTATATCCTCTGTTAAAGAATCTTTCACCTTGGTCCATATAGTGTCCTGCTTGGTTATAGTAGTCATTTGCTTTGTTATAATAGTTTCCTGCTTGTCTTCCTACATTGTCCATCCATCCTTGAACTTTTCCTCTTGTTTCAGGATTTGGAATAAGATTTGTTGCATCTCGTGCTACATCCCAACCTTTCTGTACAGTTTGTATAATAGGTTGTGCTTTCTCTTTCAGTATACCTAATGTACTCAAAATCTTCCTTCCAACTCCAAATACACCTCTGGCTATTGTTCCCACTGCGGGTAAAAATCTGGATGCAACTCCTGCTAATGCGCCAAATAAACCCATTTCTTATAGGGTAAAAAATGACGAATCCGAACAAGGACTCCTATGTTTCTAAAGCGACAAAGAAAGCACTCATGATAAAAATCTTTAGTTCAACACCAAATGCTTGGTTTATGGATATCTTGGAAAACATTCCGAGGTATAGAGAAGATGGACCACCATACTGGTTAATATTTGTTGGTCAAAACACAAGATACTGTGAAGCCATACCATTACAGTCCAAAGCTATTTTAGATATCTTAGCAGCTTTGACAATATTCGTTGACAAATACCATCCAACAAAACTGACATCTGACTGTGAAAGTTCTTTCAAATCAGATGATATTAAAAACTATCTGCGTTCAAAAAATGTAAACCAATATTTCATTGTCGACCAAAACCATTCTGTTCTTGGTGTCATTGACGGATGTATAAAAATGTTAAGAGACTTAAACCAACCACAAGGTGGTGAAGCAAATGAAATGTCATATGACGACAAGTATAGACACTTCTCCATGGCAAAGATGAGACAAGTTTTAAATATTTACAATAACCGTAAACAAAAAGGTTTGGGAAACCACTCCCCCGAAGAAATGAAAAACAACCCTGACTTAGAGAAAGACTATATATTTAATAATTTAGTCAAAAGAGACAAACAAGAAAGAATGCCGGGCTTCAAACTTCAGAAAGGTGACAAAGTAAAAATAGAAATACCTAAACGCGACCCATATGAAAATACTATTGACTATGACAACAATGGGAACCCGACAGGTACTCACATTCGTGTTCGTAAAAATAGAAGAAAGTATACAAGAGAATATTATGAAGTTTTAGGCAAACATGGCAAAATGTACAGACTGCAAGCAGAAGATAAAACTACTATTGTCAGACCTCGTTTCAAACTTGTCAAAGTTCAAGGTGGTATACTTTCAAAGACAGTTCCTAACCAATATAAGACAACTCCTGACGAATATGCTAAAGAAGTTGAAAATGACGACTAAGCATTTCTATACCATGCGTAAACTGTCATGTAAGGTGGCATGTATTCTTTACTTTGTCCCGTTGTTTGCGTATATCCTGAAACGAAATGTGTATGGTTTCCTTCTCCCTGCGTGTCATCCCAGTAACAATTTATAGCAAACTTAACGTCGTCTTTAACATCATATCCTTTACCTTTTGTCATTCCTGACCAATCCCAATATCTATGCTTATGCCAACCTGCTTGAGATGTACTTAAATCTATGTAATGACTGTGTGCAGGTAAATTTTCACCTGAAATCGTTTTACTTCCACCTGTTTCCTTTGAAGAGTTTGCACAATACAAAAACCTGTCGACTATTTGTTCCCATGCACCAACACCAAACATTACTTGAGGACCTCTTGCATCCATAGATGTATAAATAGAACCTACTGGGTTCATTAAATCAAACATATGAGATATTATAGGATTGTCTCTTTTGAACTTAAAATATAGTGCAACTATTTCAGGTTTCTTCTGGTTTGTGTCAGAATATTTTTTATAATATAATCTTATGTTTTCAGGGTAGGTAAAGTCTTGACTATAATATTTATTTCTGTCATCTGTATAATAATATACTATTCTCGTTTTTTCTATTGCATTATATCTTTTATATCTATAATAATCTAAATATAATGTTAGCTTTTGTTCATCTACATGTGGTGTTCTGTCGTCATCTCCATAGTCATAATAATGTGGTGCTGGAGCTGGGTCAGGCAATGTTATATCTGCCATTTCATAAACTCTTAAATATTTCTTTTGTTCGTCTCCATATAAGTTTAAGTAGCAGCTGTTGTCTAATGGAACTTTAACTTGTGTACCATCATTCTTTTTATAGCTTACATACATTTCATTGTTATTTTTCGGAATGAGTTTATGCCGTGTACCATTTTTTAAGGACTGTACCAACTGCCATCTAAAATATTTATTTTCTTCATTGACAGAAAAGTCACCAACAATAGTTTCAATATTTTTGTTCCTATCAAACTTTGGTATATTTCATTGACATATGTTTTATCTGCTTTATTTTCAAGGCTAACGTTTAAGTTTGTAATATCAGATATAGAATGTGTATGTCCAACGTCACTTTTCCTGTTTAAGGTTTCTTGTAAGTTTGTAATATCAGATATAGAATGTGTATGTCCAACGTCACTTTTCCTGTTTAAGGTTTCTTGTAAGTTTGTAATATCAGATATAGAATGTGTATGTCCAACGTCACTTTTCCTGTTTAAGGTTTCTTGTAAGTTTGTAATATCAGATATAGAATGTGTATGTCCAACGTCACTTTTCCTGTTTAAGGTTTCTTGTAAGTTTGTAATATCAGATATAGAATGTGTATGTCCAACGTCACTTTTCCTGTTTAAGGTTTCTTGTAAGTTTGTAATATCAGATATAGAATGTGTATGTCCAACGTCACTTTTCCTGTTTAAGGTTTCTTGTAAGTTTGTAATATCAGATATAGAATGTGTATGAGTCTTATTTGCTTTTGTCTCTAATGTTTCCTTAAGACTTGGTATTTGGTTAATATAATGTATATGAGTCTTTTTAGAATATTCGTTTTCAGCTCTTGTCACTTCACTTGACATTTTATTGTCAACATATGTTTTGTCTGCTAGTTCAGGATGAGTATGTTCTTTTGTTGCATAAGCTTTGTTAGCTCTTTCTTCTTCTTTTGCTATTGCATCGTCTACATATTCTTTGTCAGCTTTGTTGTCAACATCTGCTTTCAAAAGAAGTTCATTTATAGGTTTCTCGTTTAAAGTTCCTTTTGTTGGATTTATACAGACAGTATTGTTCTTCTTGTCTTGAAACAGAAACTCATCTGTCATTGGGTTTATTGTCAGTTTTAAGTTTCCTTCTTTCAATGACTCAGATATCTTAGAATAGTTTGAAAAGTTTGTTGTGTTCTTATTTAGAGCTTGCATAATGAGTTGTCGGTTGTGTTGTATTTCTCTCATAGACACTGTTTCATTTGACATTTTTATTATAGATAAAATATGCTTCCAATAGAAAAAGAAAATTCTAGAGTTGCTATAACTAAACCATTAGATGAGCTTTTTACTAATGTCGGTCAAAAGTTTGAGACAGATACCGTAAAGCATGAAGGCTATCGTTTTGACTACCCATTAAGATGGTTAAGAAGTTAGTATACATATCATGTGTACGGAGGCACTGCGAGCCTCCTTACCCATTATATGTGAATTTGACACTTTACAAAACTGTTAACGTATATTTTACAACACAAACACAAACACCAACTTAACCTTAAATATTTATAAAGCCGCCAACCACTTCACCTCACTAACGTTTTCACAAACGACTTCACTACTGTAAAAAATAAACGTTCTCACTTACAAAAGTATTGCAACTCTTCCCATTGCTGTGCTTCACACAATAGTTCATATTCTTCAGTATCGCTGCTGTCGCTCCAATCGTCAGAGTCAAAGTCACTGTCAAAATAAATGTTAGTAAGTTTTGACAAAGCTAATGAAACACGTTTACCGTTTGTATCGTATGCTTGTATAAACTTTCCATTCTTCATTCCTTCATAAACGCTCAAACTAACTTTACCCTTTCTCCCTCGTATCTGATAGAATGTATTTTCACGAGGAACGAAGAACAAATTCTTGAACTCATGACCGTTGTAGTTTGTTATCTCAATAGTTTTCGTCATTTATATAAAAATAAAATAAAAATAATTTTAAAAATAAAATAAAAAATAAATGATATCACCACTCCCACACGTATGAAAACATAGCACAAAAATAAATTTAGGTGAAGTGGTGAAATCTCACCTCTTTTTTCACCCGGTTTTTCACCCACAATAAAATTTATTCCTCACAGTCGTCTGCTTTCTCCAACTCTTCTAACTTCTTCTTAAGTTCAGCAATGTTGTCCTCATGAAGTTTAATCTTCCTTAATATACCTTCTCTATCTAATGGTTGCTTTATCTTTCTAAACTGAACTCTACCATCCTTCATAGTATGAATGTAAAAACCTTCTGGAATAGTTCCTGATTTAATGTATTCTACCAAAAACTTTTGTTTCATTGCTTCAGTGACTTTATTTGTCATTTCAATCAAATAAAAATTTTAATATTAAATAAAAATAACGTTATTTTTTCAGTAAGGAAACGCAGGAGTTTTACGATTTATTTGAGGAGTAGGTTCTAGTTTAAATGTTGAAGTCGGTTTAGGAGTTGACTTTTGAACAGGGGTTTGTACTTCCATAGGTTCAGGAGTCATTGAAGGTTTTGATTGTGAAGGCGTTGGTTTTGACGTTGGTTTTGGCGAAGGTGTTGGAGTTTGTTTAACTTCAGCTACTTCAGTATTATTTACAACATTTGCTTTATTTCTTTTCAACATCATAACTGCTCCTGCTGTAGCTAGCAAACCTAGTGGGAGACCATATTTTATATAAGGACTTGACCAAATGCTATTTTTGACAGGAGCTGGTGGAACACCTAACCTTGGTGAGACTGCTCTTTGCCATTGTGCAGCTCGTAAGAAATATTCAATAGGTGCTCCATAATCGTTTGGTAAAGTTTGTTTCACAGATGGTGAAGGTTCACGAGAGCTTGATGAAGAACTCATTTATAAGCTTTAAAAATAAACGTTCATCCTTTATTCCTCACTGTCGTCCGTAGCTAAGTTATAGTCATCTAATCTTATTATGGGGATGCCATTAGCACGCACCTGAATGGCAAAGCAACAATCCCTCATAAATCCAATAAGTGGCTTTGGTACATTTTCAGTTGCTAGTTCAATAGGTCCTTTAACAGACAATTTGTATGTTATTGGAGCAGTAGATGTTTGACCTTGCTGGAAGCAAAAGTCCACTTCTGTTGGAAAACCACATAAGAAATGTGTGTTGTCATAGCTATCCCATTTATGTTCCACACTACCATCATCCACCAATGACCTCATAACATCTTCATTAAATCTATCATATCATTGTTTGTATTGCAGGCGTTCGCAACCATTTCATAAAATACAGGTCCATATGATTTTTCGGGTTCTGCAGGCATATTTCCATAAGCTCCCATGGAAAGCTGAAGATATTTAAACTTAGGGTTCTCAAAATTAACATAATAGTTGTCTTTCTTTCTAAATAGCCCAAATACTTTTAACATTAATAGGCGTATAAGCTGCTGTAAATGTTGCACTTGAACTATCTGTATTCTTTGAGAATGAACCGTCCATAGGAATCCAATCCATAACTTTAACAGGAAAACATAAAGCCTCGTTTGTATAATGTTCTACAAGTTTGTATAAATGTTAGGGTCTAAAGAGAATGACTTTGGATGAATGAAACATTCATTAAAATCCATCTTTGTTCGAAATAGTTGCTGGGTTACAGTTGTAATAGTAACTGTTCCACTAGCTTCTACTGCCTTCGTTATCATAGTGAATGGTTCATTCCATGGAACAAATTTATTTGTCGGTGGATTTGAATCTGAAGCAAATGCAACTTTAAGAGTTGGATTGAAAGCAATGATATCATTTACAGATATAGATGTGCATTGTAAGGCGTCGCTACTGAACTTTACTTTAAGCTGAATGTTTCCTGCAAAAGCTGGAATAAATCGAATAGCTTTAATGGAAGGAATCTTCTAACAGGAATTCTTAAACGAAGCTTAAAATCAAATGATTTCCTGCTGTAATTGGACACTAACAATTTGTCCTGTTCTGCATGTTCCGAATGACTCCATACATCTTCATGTCGAGTCTTTGAGAAAACATCTACTTTCTTTATTTGTTCGGTAGTTTGTGAGTTTGAAGTTATATATGCTTCTTCTCTTGCGTTGTCTTGAGAATATACGATACGACCATTTGCAAGGATTTGATATCCAGCAACTGCATAGAAAGCGTCATCGAAACCAATCCAAAATCCTGGTGGGTTTGTTTTATTGGAACCTGAACCAATTTCTTTATCTACAATAAATTGACCTTCCATTTTATACGTAATGAATGTATTGTAAAGGTCCAACATATTTTCACCAGGAGGTGAGAGATTGAATGTTACCCATGTGTTATCTTTAGCAGTTCCAGGTTGTGATGGAATCTTTGCGTCAGAATATTTTCTATTAGTGTCACCAATTTGAACTGCATTGTCTATGATATCGAAATATGAGCGAATCTGATGAATATGCTCTGCTGGAGTAAATTTGTTTAACTGTTTGTTCTGCATGTATTTACTTCAGATAAAAATATCTATTTACTTCATTATTCCCACTCTTCTTCTTGGCATTCGTGGTGGAAGTTGTTTCTTGACATTTTCAATGAACTGTACATTCTCTTTTGTCTCAACTTCTTTCACTGGCGGGTCAGGATTCTTTGACTCGGTTTGTTTTTCAATGAAATTCACGAACTTTGCAATAAGCTCTTGGTTCGTTATTGAAAGTACATCTGGCTTCTTTTCTTCTGGTTCTATTGGTGGCTCAGTTTGAACAGAAGGTTTTATATGGGCTTCGCCCTCGGTGCCATGCACCTTAATGTTGTCGCTTTCTGCATTCGCTAATGGAACCTTTCTTTTTCTTACGTATATTTTACCATCTTTACTCTGACTTACGTAATAGAAAGGATGTTGTATTCCTCTTGCGTCATTTAATATAATAGACTCTCGCTCTGATTTTGACAAGCTCATTTTACATCGGTTAAAGTTTTAATTTTGTTTTTTATCTGCAGTCAAATGACTCAGACAAGCCCTACGGACAAGACCCAAGGGGTCATAGATGTTGAAGCATTGAAGAAAGAAATTCGTGAGCAAATTTTATCCGAACTGAAGGAACAAAAGCCAGAGAGACCAAAGAGAAAACTTAGTGAAAAACAACTTGCTGCATTAGCTGCTGGAAGACAAAAGAACCCACGTTTGCTGGCGAAGAAAGCTAGAGAAGAAGCAAAAGCAAAGGAAGAACAAAAAGCTAAAGAAGCTGAAGCAAAGAAAGAGTAAATGGTTTATTTTTATCCGAATTAAATGTATAGACAAATACCTTTAACTGTTGCGTTCAGTAGTGAAAACCCTGACGTCAAAATAAAGGGGAACAGAGTAACGTTTAAGTTTCCAACAGACTGGATTGTGAACATAAATGAAGAGAAGTACATTGGCATAACATCTATGTATATAACACGTGCTTTCAGAAAGGTTGACTTTATACTTCAAGTCGAGATAGAAAATGACGAACAGTCTTTAAGCGCCCAAAACATTCACATATACAAATACTTTAAAGACGATACAACATTGCAACAATGTATGATTTCATTTAATGGGATGTTCGAGAAAAAGTTCAACATTGAAGTACAAACTTTACAGCCTTTACGTGAGTTTCTTGCACAACTGAAAGAAGAAGGTAGTCAGCCACAACTTATAGACTTTCATTATGAATTTAATGAAAATGAAGATGGAACACATGACTGTCAGTTTGTTATATATTCACCATTCAATGAAGTAGCTAAAGAGAAAGAAAATCCATTACGTATAAGATTTCAAATCTCTGAACCAAGTGATGATTTCAAGAATGTTTTCAATTATGATGCAATGCTTCCGAGGAAAAATGATTTTTCCGAAATTAGATTTCCAGGCATTTGGGATAGAAAGCAAGCTATATTATATTCAAACTTAAGTAAGGGAGTTGAAAATGAGTTCATTGGTCATACAAGAACTTCACCACTTCCTAACCCTAAATACTATAAATTAACTGGCTTCAATCGTGAGTTTTGGATAGACATGTTCTCCACTCATGACCATAACTGCCCAGTGTTCTTACCTCCAGACCATAAGGACTGTCTCTACATTGAAGCACAATTCTTAAACTCTACCATCGCAGTATTGTAAATGACCACATGGGTTTCGCCCTTGCCGCTAGTTTTATTTTTATCACGAATGACCTCATTGCTGACAAAAATAAATGACCTCAGAACTTAAGCTTTCTTATGAATGAAGTCTTAGTCTGAATAGAAAAGTTAAACTTTTCAGCAAAGCAAGGACTAGAAGACTTACATAAGTCAAATCCAATCTCTTGACCGTCATAAAGTGCTTTATATAACTTCATAACACTGAACTCAGAGTCTTTGTCAAATTTTCCTTGCGGAACCATTAAACCTTTATCTTCATCATAGAAACACTGAACAGAGTCAGGAAACATTTCATTAGCGGTTAAAGCAATAACATCTTGCTTCACGCCTTTCATTCTGCAGTGAAATGCAACTTCATTTAAATCATTCGTGAGTAAGTCTATGTAAGTCTTCTTTCCACAAAATGTTGACTTGTATGCTAAACTTTGTTTATCTTTTGTGATTTCTGCAAAGTCGCTATGAAATTGACCAAGGTTTTTACCAATGAGAACTCTTCCATAACGTTTCTCAAACTCTTCAGCTAAACGAGGGATACATTCATTGTAGAGATGCATACTGTCTGTATCGCTATAAAAGATGTCCATTCCTAAGTCCTCAGCAGTACAGAATACTTCACACATTATTCTCTTAGACATAGACAGAATGTTAACACCAAGTGGACAGAAGTTAAAGTGTCTGCAAATACTTTTCGTTAGCTTGAAAATAGTTTTATCTGAACCATCCAAACCTTCGAACTTCACTATATGGTTGTAGTTTCTGATGGCATATCTTATAGCATCTTTGTCATTTACTATGGTTATTTTTGACTCAATAGGAGATAGAATAGTTTTGCCATAAATACTGTTCAGAATGAGCTTTATATTTTCTTGCAAAGGATTTCCTTCTTTCTTATACTTTAACCTTAACTCAAACAACTTCTTTACTTCATCTCTTATTCTAATATCTCTGTTTCCATCGTAATAGTATCCTTGCAACACTTCACATTTGACACCTTGATATTTTATGAGGTCTTGTAATGTTATATGGTCAACATACATTAAACAGCAAGTGTTTGAACTTCTGGGAACGTTAAATTCTGGATTTAGTTCAGGGTCACAAACTATTAAAGGAAAGTGTCTATGTATTCCAATCTCTGTTATCTTAATGAGAACAAAGAAGCCAGACATAAACTTTTCACCAATGGGTTCCTTTTGGTCGTCATCGAATAAATGTCTCATGAGATACTCTGTGCTTAACATTTCTTTCTTCATAACCTTTGGAATACCTTCTAAAGTATAAAGTCTTGCTATAGCGGATGGATATAATGAAACAGCGTCGAAATCAGCAATGAGTTTCTTTTCGCTCTTTTGTTTCATGTTATCTGACAGCATACATCTTCCACCTTGAATACAGCGTGAAATAAATTCTCTTGGTTTATTTGAGAGGTCATATAAATTTCCATTCGGGAAGTACACTCTGTTCTCAAATAATTTGTTAGCAATTGAACAAATGCTAACGTAATCATAAACGTTTAAATCAAATTCTTTTAATATGTCATTGCGGAACTTAACAAAACCTTCTCTTAAAATTCTTACATCTTGTTTGCAATAAAATGTGCTATACTTTTCTAAGTCGAAGTGGTTTGCATCTATTCTGCAACCTTTGATGGAATCTATGTTTTTCATGAACGTATCAATATCTTTTACAAACTTACACGCTTCAGAAATGACACTAGTTCTGTTGTCATTTGCTAACAAAACACTGCTGTAGTAGTTGTATGGAAATACTTCTTTCGGTCCTGTTTGTAAGTTAAACATAGCAGGAAATAGTTTAAGCTTCTTATTTATAACACTGTAAGAGTCTTTTATAATAATTGCCCTTCCTTTATATAAGCCAGTTATTTGCATTGTTCGTGAACCTTTAATGATGGGAGTTCCTTTCACTTCTGTCATGTGTCTTAAGATGAAGTTTATATCATAACTGAGGTTATGGAAATATATTAAACTCTTGTCAGGAAGTCGTTCCAAAAATTCTGTTGCACAGTTCTGACCCCAAATGCTTTCACTCACTGAACCATCTTCACTGTCATAACAGATGTTAAAAGCTTTATGAAAGCCGTCTGTGCTACACTCAAAGTCAGCAAAGAAAACGTGCTCAGGAATGAACTTGCACTTATTTTTATATACTTCTTTTGACTCGGCTTTCTTCTTCAGTTGTACACAATACTTTGGAGCATATGTCAAATCTTTAAATGGTGCAAGGTTCTGTTTATATAAGTCAGTCGTATATGTGAAAAGTTCTCCATAAGAAATAGGTTCGAAATATTTGCACTCCCACAATGTTTTCATAACATCCCATAACGGTGTTGTTCTATCATAACGAACAATATATTTGTTCTCTCTCTTTGTATAAATCTTCATCTGTTTCTCAATGTTCATTCCACCACACTCCTTCAAGATTTCTATATAGTTGCGAATGAAATATGTTGTCATTGGTAATCTTTCATTTAGCATGTAGTGGTCTTCAACAAGAAGTAAGTCAATAGTTCGAATAGTTTCACATTTTTTTGGTATGTATCTCTTTATTTCATTATGTCTTGAGTCATTGAAATAACCAACGGTAACATTAAATGCTATACCTGTTGCGTCAGAAATTTCTTGTACTTTACTTTGAGGAAAGTCTCTAACACGAATGACTTCTCTCATGTGGTCAATAGTCTCTCCATCTACTCCAGCCTGAATGCAAGCATAAACGAAACAATTGTCTTCTGTCATAAGTGCTGCAGTTCTTTTGTTAAGTTCATTGAAGATTTGGTAGCGCTCAAGATTTATAGGTAATGTGCAAAGATACTTCCAGAACTGACCGCTTCTCTTCTTATAAAACTTCTTTTCACCATTATCTTTCCAAAAGCTTTCTATAAGTGCTGGGTTTCCTGTTTGCTTAAGAGCTTCCAAAATGGCTTTCTGGTCATTTGTCAGTGTGCTTTCATCTCTATATGGTCTCTTTTTTGGTTTGCCTTTCTTTACATCTGACATCGTTAAGCCTTCATATTCTGTTAAATCATACATCTTTATTTCAGTAAGATTTTTTATGTTTGTCAAGAAGAAGTCATAGTGCATTTCAACAATACCTGCAGCATTTGCTTCTATCTCTGATATAAAGTTCTCCTTCAAGAGCTGATGTAGTAATGTTCCAATATTATTGAGGTTTAACGTAGAACATTCATACTTTCCACCAAGTTTATAACATACCATCCATCTTTGTTGGGAGTTTATTTTAATCTTCTCTAAGAGTCTCATGAAAACCTTACCGAAATGTTTGTGTAAGTAGTCTCTTTTTGGTTCATCTAAAGCTTCGATGTTAAAGTCAATGAGTCTATTGCCTGTCTTAACATTCCTCTTCCTATTCTCTTCATCTTTCTTTAACCATCTCTCACCTTCTTTTGGTTTGTCGTCAATGGAACGAAGGACATCGTTAGCTTTGCGAACTTGTTCTATAGCGCTCTTAAACATCTCTCTTCTCTGTTGTTTCAGTGTGTCGTCTCTTCTTCTTGTTTCACCAACGTTTGCATTTGTTATGTCAAACATTTCTCTTCTTACTTCATGAGGTACTGAACGTCTATGATATAAGTCAATAGCAACGTCATTTAAAGGAAATGCTCTTGCATGGACTTCGTCCTCGCCGCGTTGCGGCTTTATGAACTCATGAATTCTATCATAACTTATTGCACCATTATAGTCATTGAGGATGTCAGCGAGTGCTTTTTTGTTTGTTGCGTAATGCTTTGCAACATCTATATTAGCTTCTGTAAGAAGTTGTTTTATTTCCGAGTGTTCTAACTTAGACAACTTCCGATACATCTTTAGTAGAAATAAAAAAATATTTTTTGAAAAAATTAGATTAGATTTTTTTAAGTTATTTTTCAAAATAATTTAATATTTTTATTTTAATGAAACACATGCAAGATTGCAAGTTCTTTTCATACAATGCTCTCGCTACTGCCATCAAGAATGAGTTCAATAATGCTTCAAATGTTAATGTTATCTTTAACAAGAAGTTTGTGAAAGAATCTAAGTTTGGTCAGTATGTCAGACCATTAGCTATCGTCATTGACCGCAAACGTTATACTTCACAAGAGTTAGCAGTAGTTTTGAAACAAAAGAGTTTCTTCGTGAATGTCAAAGATACTCATTATACTGTCATAAAGAACTCTAACGTTGACTTCTTCAGTATTGCTTTAAATCTTTCCGAACAGAAAGAATATAAGAAAGGTGAAACAAATGTGAAATATTATCCTTCATCTCTGAAGACAATAACGAACAAAGATGTTATACAGAAATTCTTACCAAAGGTTGAAGAAGCTTCTATTGACATTGACGAAGGAAGTGAAATGGTTGAAGAAATAGACCCTGAAGCTATTTAAGCAAAAATATATTTTTGGTTAGTCTTCATATGGATATTTTACAACAATTCCCCAATGTATAAACTTTTCATACGCTTTTTCATAAGCTTTATATACCTTCAGAAATTTTGCATAATCTTTAGAAGCATTTAGATATTGTTTAAATGCTTTGTATGTCTTCAGAAATTTTGCATAATCTTTTACATGTTGTTCGTTCTCTTCTTCTGTCATGAGTTCCGAATATTCTAAATTCATGTTCTTTCATATGAGATAAAATTTTATAAAAAAAAATAAAATTAGCTTAGATTTTTTTTATTCTTCCTCTTTGAAGTTATCGAAATATTTTGTTATTTTTTCTTCAGTAATGTTAAGTCTTCTTTGAATGTAAGTATTGTGCAACCTTTGATGTCATATATGAGGAAATTCTTCTAAAAGTTCTTTTGTCTGTTGGTTTTCAAACCAATGATATGCTTGCTTTGTAGAACGAAGAGCATTCATTATACTTTGCATTTGGTACATATCGTCTTTGACTGAACGAATGAGACGTAACTGTTTGTTATACTGTATGTACTCGTATTCTTCATTTATGGCTTCATGGACTATAACTGTTGTTGTGTTCTCTAATGTTGTCATTACTGGCTTTACATACAAAATAAAAAAATAAATAAAAATAAAACTAACTTTATTTTTTCTGTCTTAAGGAAATTCATGAAAATTCAAGACCTTTGGGTCTCGCCGCTTAGCGGTTGAGGGTAGAAATCGGGTTAGATATCGGGTTAGATCTAACCATCTACCCTAAACATTATTTTTGCTGAATTCAGCAACAAAATGAACGAGGTCAGGATGTATGTAAATACCTTTGAATTCATTTATAACGCCCTTAGTAAGCTCATAAAATGCTTGTTTTGAGGTTGAGCCACTTTTGGCTCGACCGTATTCTTTCATCCAAAACTCAAGAATTTCCTGCATGAATTTTGTATAAAAAGCAACAGTCCGAATTCCGGCGGTTGCTATATTCTTCACAAAATGCCTTATAATACTCTTCCCAGGACTTATTTTCCAACAACTTTCTAAAGTCTTTCCTAAACCGACGGCGCAAAGCGCCAAGACCGAAGGTCCTGACTGACTGACTGACGGCACAAAGTGGCTTAACGAAAACATTAATATATAAAATTCATGAAAATTCATGAGGGTGAAAAAACAGGTGAAAAAAGAGGTGAAATCTCACCTCTTCACCTAAATTATATTTTTGGTGTAAATAAATGGTACCATTAATGATATCATGACTGTTCTCGTTCATGTCTGATTTACATCTAATGAAAAAGTTTAGAAGAATTTTCTTATTCTTTCTGGCTTATTTTTATCTTTCCAGTACTCCCACTCTAATGGTCCCAGATGAGTTGGTTTAGATTCTCTCAAGTTCTTAGATGGTATAACATCTTCAACGCCTCCTTCATATCTTACTTTATAAGTGTCATCGTTTATGTTGTAGCCAAGTATTTCAATAACCACTCCTCGCTTTGCTTCGTCAATGGTTTCAGCAAGTTTGCCATTACTACTTTCAACTAATTTATGACGAGGGTAAAACGCAATAGAGTCGTCAGCAGCTTTTATAAGATATCCATTACCTTGCGTAGAGTCTACGATATAATAATTTCGACTTAACCTTAAACGTTTCTTTGTCAACGGTTTGTCGTCAAGAACTACACGAACTTTTGTACCAGGAATGAGGGTAAATTGTGTTGAATTTCTGATATTTTGTGTTTGGCTTCGTTTCTTTTGTATATACTTTTCTTCTTGTTGTTGTGTCATTGAATTTGGTGTATGTCCTGTTGTAGAATGTGTTGAGGAATTATATACTTCGAGAAAATGTTTCATTGTTTCTTCGGTAAAGTCTCGCTCTTGATTTAAATCTCTGAGAGTCCTTATGAAGCGGTTTATGATACCGAGTATGTTATGGTTATGGTCTTCAGTAGTGTAGTGAGTTATGTTATGCTTAATGAGAAATTCTGTGATTTCATTGCTGAGGTATGCACCGTCTTGGTCTGATGTTAAAGTACTTGGGCTATGTTCTGCTACAAACTTTTGTAAAACTCTTAACACTTCACGAGTTCCTTTATTTTTCATTGGATATGCATATGCTTTACGAGTGTTAACATTTATGAAGATGAGGAATGGTTTATGTCCTCCTTTTCTGCTTTGAATGAGAGTGTCAAATTGGTATGCGTCAGGAGTGTTGGAGTAAATTGGTAAAAAGTAGTCGTAAGGGTTTATTTTTGTTTGATGTACAACATTTTTGTCAAAGAACTTTTTAACTTCAGCTCTGTTAGTAAATCCCCAACTCCTTGCAGCTTCATTGAACTTCTTAAATGACCTCCACGGTGATGATTCGAATACTTCTTTCAAGCTCATTTATGTAAAGTTAAAGATTTTATTCAAGACGGTAAGCCTTGACCCAAAGGGTCTAGGCTCAAGCGCGTTCATTGAACGCGGTACCATGCGAATACAGTCATAAATGGTGGCATATAATCTTCACCCGAGCCTGTTGGATTTGTTGTGAAAGTATGGACATGATTTCCTCCTGGTTCAGTTGGTCGAAAAGTCTTTTTTGCTGAATTGTTATAAGATGGAGATAAAACGTCATTGCCAGCTTTATAGTCTGAGTTGTATAATGGGTGGTCTCTTAATGAGTGGCTATGGTCGCCAGAAAAGTTTGTCGTTCCTGTATGAGTGTGCGCAGGTAAGTTTGCTTCTTTAATTTTCTTTGAGCCTCCTGTTTGCTTTGAAGAGTTAGCACAGTATAAGAATTTGTCTACAATCTGTTCCCAAGTACCAAAACCCAGAACTGTTGCGGGATTTGTTGAATTCATTGATGTATATAAAGAACCAACAGGATATAATGTTTGAAGTATTTCAGTCTTTAATGTTTGAAGCTCTGTTTTGTCAGCTTTCTTATCATATAAATCTTGAGCAGTGAATTTAACATTATTTTCATCATCCATGACATAAACATTTTTACAGCTAATGTCTTTCTTCGTTGTTATGTTTTCATTCGATGTTAAACCTTGTGGAAAGTTAGGAGGTTTATAATATAATGCATCCCCACCAGTTCCGCCAACCGTTCCTTCAATACTTTCTATAGCAACAGTTGAGAAGGAGTTATGTGTATGTTCTTTATCTGCTTTCTTATCTAACATTGCTGGTAGTTCATGTGTTTCAAAGTTTCTGACATGACCTTCGATATTCATACATTTGTTATTTAAGGAGTTTGGTGTATCTTTTACGCTTGTACTTGGATTCTCTAAAGGTGCACTTGAACCAAGGGTATAGTTCAATATTATGTCGTCTGCTCTAACAGTAGTGAAGGATTCATGTGTATGGTTCTTGTCAGCTTTACTATTTAATGTAGCTTGAAGTTCATTTATATCGGAGATATTGTGTTTATGAGATTTCAAAACTTTGTTCGTTGCGTCAAGTTCATCTTTGTCTGCTTTACTTTTAATAGCATCTTCAAAAGTTATTTTTGCCTTAACTCTCAACATAAATCTTGGTTCAACTAATACACCGTTAACAAAGAAGTATGAAGCATAAATTTCATTGTTATAACCAAATGCTTCTGGTGCTTTACCTGTGTCATACTGTACAGTACAACGTATGTCATAACCTTTAGCACGAATGTATTTATATCTTCTTTCATTAACATCTTCAGTGCTTATTTGTTCATCCTGTGTTAAATATCCATGGTAGTCCGTTATAATCTGTTCGTCTGAACTTATATAATGAACATGGTTTTTATCTGCTTTTTCGGCTAATTTCTCTTCTATCTCATTTATTTCAAGTTCATGCCTACCACCACCTCCCGAAGAAGTATTTTTCTTCAGCTCTTGAAGAACGTCCACTTCGCCATCTTTGGTGTCAATAATGAGACTTTGTGTTAAAACCTTTCCTGTCTTAATGGATGTTTGTAAAACTTCTTCTTCACCGTGTTCGGGGTCATGGTCGTCATCATATCTTGTAAAATCAGAGATGTTGTCATACATTAAGCATATCTGTCTCAAAAGTTCTGCTATTTGGAATTGGAACGAAAGATATACAGAACTTTCATCATCCCCCAAAGTCAAGTCAGCTTTCTTAAGTATTTCTTGAATGTATGCAATGAGGACAGAGTATCTTGGAAAATATTCGAACAATATTTCATTAGCTGTTGGTTTTGGTGGTTCTTCTGGAGTTTCTGTTGTTTCAGTTCCTTCTGTAGGTTCTGTTGGAGTTTCTGCATCTCTTGACTTCAATGCTCTTGCTCTCAAAGACCTAAATGTTAGAGCACCAGGTTTTACAAAGGACTTTATAAATGCTTTAATAGTTCCTGGTAAGTTATTGTTAGCATTAAGTAAGTTCCTTATGCTTCCATCATGTACGTCCATAGCACTATGTAAAAAATCTATACTTTTCTTGTAGTCAGCAATAGACTGACTGTGATTTTTTAAAGATTTGTCAATACCTTTAAGCCAATCTTCATGCATGTCTGATACTGAGCCAAGAATATCATTTGCTTCCTTTAGTGTATCTTGTGCTTCTCGTAAAGTATCCAATCCCGTACGTGCATTGTTTGCTATACGTCTTACAGTATCTATTTGACTCCTTGTTTCTTGCATCCAACCAGATAAAGTTTTAATAGTATCCGAACCATTTGAAATGAAGTTCAAAGCATTTTTAACGTCATCTAAAGCTTCTTCACCAAGTACTGCCCATATCTTTCCGATTTGGTATTGAAGAACTCCATATGAAGCAGCTGTTAAACCAGTATTTATAAGGTTCCATATCCATGATTTAGCAGTTTTTCCATCCTTTCCATCTTCACCATCCAAACCGTTTTCGCCTTGAGGTCCTTGTATTCCTTGTATTCCTTGTATTCCTTGTGGTCCTTGAGGTCCAGTGTCACCCTTCTCTCCTTTCAGTTCATCTTTATGTTCGTTATAATATTCTAATGTCATAAGGTGTACATCATTACTGCTACCAGCAACGCCGAGAATTTGTTTCTCATTCATGACTAAATTCTTTAGGCATTTAATGTTGTCGTCAAATCGAAAGCTCTTTAACAATTCAATGAGAACATTTAATACTTTCACTAATGAGGCATCTACTGTAGAATTTATATATTGCACCGTTCCATCATTTATGATAGGAACTTTACTTATTGTAATGAATGGGTCATAAGTGTTAAAAGTATCGAAATCAATGACTTTTTTAGTTTTTCCATCGTCAATGACTAAATTGTTACCTTCCACTGTTAAAGTTGAGTTTTCATTTACTAGTTCACGTGCTCTTCTTGCTTCATTTGTTTCATACGCATATGCAGCAATAGTCATATTTTAATGAGAATAAAATGTTGTTCTATTTGCAAAGTACAGACCCAAACGAATACGGGACAGTAAAGCTACAAACAAACTTAGGTCTTCAGAATGAAGTACTTGCTTTCAGAGTTGTTGACTTCAATACTATCGCAACTTTTGTCATAACAGATGAAACAGATTTCATAGAGATTGAAATAGATGACAAAAGAAGTTTTATAACATTTCCTAACAGAGCAGAGTATAGAATAGATAAAATTGCTGGAGTCATAGATACTCTCATAAATGAAGAAACTATTGACAACATAGATGTCGAACTCTCTTCTGAGGAAACATTGAAGTTCAGCAGCGAGAAAGAGTTTAAGATACCAAGAATGAGTCATAGAGTTCAATTGCTTCTGGGAGCATACCATATGACATTTCCTTTGAAAAGTGTTGACAAAACGATTGAGATGAAATCTGTTCCATACGTATGTTATGGCAATTGTTTGTACATTGAGTCTAAAATAGCTAATGTCACAGGTATTTCAGGAGTTAATAGTAAAGGTTCAGTAGAATATAAGTCTTTCTGTTATGCAGTCAATTCAATGTTCATTCCAAATGTTCCTGTCATAGCAACTCATTTAGGTAAATGGGTTCGCATTAGTCCTCATAATTTGAAAGACATGCAATTCAGACTTGTTGACTTTCAAGGAGAGCCTGTAGAACTGAAGGCACCAGTGCGAATGACTGTTGAAGTTGACTTTTTAGAAAATATTAAATGCAACAGCTTACAAGAGAACTCAGAGCTAAAAATATAAAGTATGAATGTTATGTATTAGGTCATGAACTTTGGTTGTTGCTGTTTGATGAAACAAATGAGTTAGTTATGTCAGTCAAGAGAACAGAAAAATATTGTGTTAGTGAAAACTGCACCAAGTCAATAAGATTAGGTTTGCATTATGAAGATGAGTTCGATACTGTTGAAGAAGTTTTGGATAGATATTACAAATTGCTAACTTGAAATTTTTTTGACTGACGGCGCAAAGCGCCAAGACCGAAGGTCCTGACTGCTTTAATTTACTAAAACATATTTCAAACAAAGCTTATAGTCAGTAGATAGTTTTGTATACTCGTTCGAATATCTATACTTAAACTCAACTCCTGTAGTTCCTCGTGTTTCAATGATGCGGATGTTACCTATTTTCATGAATATTGGCGTTTGACCACAGCATTCGATTTCAGGGTCGAGATAGTCAATGACACATTGTTTCCCTGTTATTCGCGATTTAACATTTTCTAAATCCTCCTTTGTTAGAATTATTTGGTTCTTACTTATAAGATTTGTCAAAAGCTTCTTATCGTCTTTGAGTAAAATTGTTTGGTATAACTGAAGAAGGTAATGGTCTACGTTATCTGAAGGATTTGTTTGAACATTTGTGTAAGGATTGTCGTTGGCTTCTCTTGAAAGAATTTGGTCCAGTGGTGGATACTCTAACTTAACATCTGATGTAGCGTTAGCGTTTGAAGCTGTGTTTAAATTCACAGACTTAAGTTCTGGTTCTTTTTCTTTCAAACACTCTGAACTATAGTTCTTTATGACAATATTGTTTGTCGTTCGTGAGTCAACATTTGATGTTGGTTCAATTGGAACATTAACGGCACCAGCTAAGATGGATTTGCTTCTCATTTCATATAGAATAAAAACCTTTTATATGTATGAAATGAACAATATACTCGACAAGGGTTTGAATGTAAAGCTAACGAATGAAAATATTGATGAATTCACTGAGACAGGAGCTGTGTATAAAGATGTAGAACTACTGAACAAAAGAGCAAAGGGAAGAAGCAGGAATATGAACAAAGGGTGGAAGCCTATAAAAATTTATGTCAATGATGGCTCAGGAGGTTCAAACATAAAGTATGCAGAAAGTTATAGAGTTTATGCTCTCAAAGGTGAAAAGCCTTCATTTAAGAACAGCTATTCTAACGCATATCCTCAAAAGCTAACGGATGGGGAAGTGGATGATATGAATGACAGCAAAAATATTAACAGAAATGGCGACAGAGATGCATGGAATTTGTTTACCATCAGTCAATTGAAGGTTAAACTTTAAAACAATGTTGGTCGTTCCCATGGAATATTTTTGACTTTAATGGTATTAGTCATGATATGAATCTCAAGGTATGAACGAGGAGAGATGAGAGACTTATATGCTTCCCAAATTTCTTCAAAAGGTAATGTTATACCTGACTGTTTCCAAATGAGTTCAATATCATAGCGTGAGAAACCTTGAAAGATAACGAAGTCAGTTATGAGACGTTTTATGTTTAAAGCTAAAAACCTCCATGTTTGCATAAGTATTGCTACAGTTAAATGGTAATGTCTGACTTTAGTTATGATGTTAGCTAATGGTGAGTCTGGTTTTGACACTAAACCTTTTCCGGCGAAGTCGTCACAAACGAGCAGAGTGTTTGAAGGATACTTTTTGAAGGGGTATTTTGAAAGTTTTGACAGAATGTAGTTTGTAAGTCGTTTCATATCGTAAACTCCTGAGTATTGACGTAAGTGGTGTTTGTCAATAATTCTTTCCATCTCCTCAGAAGTCTTTTGCATTCCTGACTGTATGAACTCTACGATGGCATAATATTTTCTCTTACGTCGAATGTAACGTTGAAGAAATTCAATGAGTTCACTGTCTGGAACTTTAACGACAGAGGCTTGAACTTTTGACATAAATGTTTTCGCTGTTGAGTCCATAGAGTCTGAAGTTGCTGATATAATGATTTGGTCATAGTAAGAGTCGTTTCCTAAACGCTCTGTTATGAGTATATGACGAATGATGTTAAATGTCTTACCTGAACCCATCTTTCCACAATAGAAATATACACCATTTGAACAGAATTCATAATCTTTGCTGAAAGGAAGAATAAGCGAAGAGTTAAGTTTGTCTGTAGTTTCATTCATGTCTTCATCTACATCATGTATTAAATGCTTCATTTTATCTCCATTAAAAATGCAAGTCAGAAATATTCAGAACATAGCACCGAGTCTAACTGACAAGAGTATAAAGATATACTATGAACACGTTATGATGAAACCTACCAAAATTCAAGAAAGTCAGTATACTTATGAATATCCAAGACACTGGGTAGAGTATGTAGGAGGTGAGAAAGCTATTGAAATCAGACAGGTTCGAAGTATTCCAGCAGGA